TCCCCACAAGGTGGGCTATTTGCACTTAAGTGTGAAATTGAAGCTCTGTATTATTATTATTATTAGTATCATTAATATCACCACTAATATCTTAAACATTGATGATTTAAGGATGTCATTATTATTACCTTTAATGTCATCATTACAACACTTTGTCTTGTATTGGATATCACAAATGTCCTGCTGCAATAACTATAATCAAATTATTCTAGAACATTTCTCAGAGATGACTTTAAAGTGAATAGCGGGCAATTTGTGACGCCAGGTTTGGTGTAAATTGGCATTCAGATTTGCATACGTGTGTTTTAGCTGAAGGAATGGGTGGAGCTTTTGATGAAGACTCTGAGGGACCCCTCTCTGCCCCTTCTGGAGCTTCAGGACATCATGACGAGTGTTTCAGGCCGGATCCCTCCAGCCGTAGAGAAGGCCATCAAGAAAGAAATGGCTCAATATGCCAGCAACATCACTTCTGTCCTCTGCCAGTTTCCCAGCCAGCAGGTGCAGCTTGTGGACCTTTTGAATTCATGTCTATCTGAAGCTATAAAACTGCTACAATTGTCTATAAATGTTGTCAAATTTCCATCTCAGATTGCCAATATATTGGACAGTCATGCTGCCACATTGAACAGGAAGTCAGAGAGAGAGGTCTTCTTCATGAACACTCAGAGCATTGTACAGCTGGTTCAGAAGTTAGTCCTTCGTTCGAACAACCTCCACATGTATTTAAACCACTGATCTATATAAGTGACTGGATTAGTAATATGGCTGTTGGAACTCTTCTGGTGGCTTTCTGTTGGAACACAATGAGCTATCCAGTCATTTGTATAGATCAGTGACTTAAACACAATCACAAACACAGGTTAACTGGCCCTTCATGTCTGTTGTGTACCCAGGTACCGCAGTGGCATCAGAGGTCATATGAAGGCAGTGGTGATGGACCTCCTCAGGCAGTATTTAAGAGTGGAAGTTCAGTTTCAGCATGGTAAGACTGCATATTATTGCCCGGTTTCACAGACAAGGCTTAAGCTTACATTAGTCCCAGCCTAAACTGGATGTTTGAACTGTCTTAACTGAAAGTAACTTGCACTGACGCATCTTAAAGTAATAGTTCACCCAGCAATGCAAATCCTGTCATTAATTACCCACCCTCATTTAATTCAAAACTCTTGAGACCTTCGTTCATCTTCAGAACACAAATAAAGATATTTTTGATGAAATCTGAGAGCTTTATGTCACTCCTTAGACGGTCCACAATACTACTACTTTGACTTAAAACTTTCATAATAATATTGTAAATTTCATCCATATGGATTGAGTTGTTTAGTCCAAATTTGCTAAAGAGACTCAATGATGAACTGATTGAATTTAAGCTTTTATTCACATATAAACATTCATCAACTCACAAATCAGTCGTGGTAAACAGAAGCTCAAGCAGGTTTGCTTGACGTGCGAGAACAAATGATGTTCATTCTCGTGCTAAAATAAACAAATAAACTAGATGTTTCCTTAGTATGTTGCCTTGTTTTATCATGTGACCACTGGATGGCACTGTAACATTATGATCCATTATTGTGTATTAAATCATTTAAATGAAATATTCAAGTATTTAATAAATAGCAATTGAAAATAGAAACAAAAGATCCAAAATGTGAATAATGAGGGGGGAAAAAAACAATGGAATTCATAATAATGAGATTTGAAAATGTTTGTTATTTAATAAAAAATAGCCTTTTCTATTCGTTCCATTATATTTACGGTTTATTAATAATGAATTGCATTACATAATTGATTATTAATTTGTGTATGTATGTGTGTGTATTAATGTCAGGCCACTATGACAAGTGTGTATTTGCACTTCGAGAAGAAAACAAAGGGGACATGTCCAATGTTCTCAACTACATATTCTCTCATGCAAAAGTCACAAAGAAGAACTCTCTGGTCACCATGTTGATTGTGAGTACATAGTCACAATTTTTAATGTGAATGATTGTTTGGTTGTTTTTAATCATTCAGAAGGCCAACTAATGTATTGTGAGATATAATAAAACTCCAGTCCACTCATGATTCAAATGTTTGTCCCTGACGTCTCTCTGTAGGATCAGCTGTGTGGACGAGACCCCACTCTGACGGACGAGCTCATGGCCATCCTCACAGAACTCACACAGCTCAGCAAGACCACGAATGCCAAGGTGGCACTGCGGGCACGGCAGGTTCTCATCGCTTCTCACCTTCCCTCATATGAGCTGCGACACAATCAGGTGGAGTCCATCTTCCTGTCCGCCATTGACATGTATGGACATCAGTTCTGCATTGAGAACCTGCAGGTAGGACATGCTGAATGATCTGTAGTGCTATCAGTGTTTTGCCACTACTATGATTGTCAAATGTTGAAGGTTAAAAAGTTCAAATCAAAATGGCTTTAGTTTAGCTCATTGAGAAATTTTAATTTAATTGGCCATGCTCGCAGGATGTTGAATAAGAATAAGAAGGGCATTGATAGGAAGTGGAATTTTTGTAAGCTATTTATTTATTTATTTATTCCCTGATAAGTAGAATACATTTTCCTCAAACGATTAGATAGACATTAACACAGCAGTCAAAACACTTCACACCATATTGTTATATTATAATTATTTTAAATGAACAAGCCATTTAGATACTTTAATACAGTTTTAGGGCTTAAAGGTGCTCTAAGTGATTTTGCGCGTTTTTTAGGCCAAACTAGGGGTGGGCGATATAGCCTAAAAATTATATCACGATATTTCAAGAATATTTGCGATAATGATATTTATCACGATATAGAAAAAATATATATGAAACAATGTTTTATTGGTGATTGCAGCTGGCTGGCAGCAGCATTAGTGCAAAAAAAAGTATAACATAACTCCTTATCATTTTATTTTAACAATAACTACAGTAATACATTAACAATATTAACAATAACTTCAGAAGCCTGCACAATATTGTCACCTAATAAAATTTACCTAAACTTTGAAGTACAAAAAATTTAAACAAACAGCGGCAATCCAAACAAACCTTCAAAATGTAACAGTTGCCTTGCATAGTTTTTTGGATTAGCATCAAATGAGGTATACAATACCTAATTTATACAATAATTGTATAAAATCGGAACATTTAGGGAAAAAAACATTTAGTGGGGAATAAATAAGAGACAATTGTAACACTAAATCTGGTAAAACTTTACACATTGCTCTTTGTATTGTACATTCATGAAAAAAAAACAAGGTAACAAATCAAAAGGATTAATTATTATATAGCCTAGTCTACTATAAAATTGAGGCATGTTTAAAATGAATAGCACAGCTGTTTAATGAGGCAGCAACATATGATTGATAGGACAGAAGAAAGGCTATTAATAATCTTTCATTGCGCAAAAGTATTATGATATGAAAGGCTCCAATATATCGCACAGCGCTTATGCGCATCCCGAGCGCTGAATGATGCGCTTGAAGCAACACGGAGTCACAGCGAGCACGCGCAGCGCGTCGAATACTCCGCACTGAACAGTTCAAAGCAGGTGTAACGGTACACAAAAATCACGGTTCGGTACGTACCTCGGTTTTAAAGTCACGGTTCGGTACGTTTTCGATACAGCAAAAAGAAAGAAATGCCAGAGAAATGTCCTATTTGTTTAAAGAAAAAATATTTTTAAATAAGTGTGAGTTTTCCTAGATCTTGAAACTTTCAGGTTTATAAATGGGGGTCATCTTTGAAGGATGAACAAATAATGTTTTGGTCATCACATTAAAAATAACATTTAAATATATATTTATTTATATAATATTTGAATTTTGAAGTGCTGGTAAAAGATGTGTGAAGTACTTGAAAGCATTTCACCATTCAGCCAAACTGGTTCCAGTTAGTGTTACTATATTAAATCCATGGTGGTGAATGTTGCTGGTCTGTGGACGAAAGTATTACTAGTTCATTCACGGCACAATTTTCTCCTGGTTTCCATGACAGCGCTGTTTGATCTAATAGAGATCTACGGTTAATAACGGAGAAATGTGAATGCATCTCACTAGATCTCGCCGCGATGTTATTACCTCAGTGGCGAATTCAAATGTTTTCTTTACCGGATCTCTTAGCGCGGTGTGGTAACAGTGTTGCTTGATGGAGATCGGCTCGCGCTGCACAGATGTTGCTGGTCCGAACTGATAAACGATCCATGATGAAGCACATAACGAGGACCGCAGTTTCGTTCTGCTTTCATTACCCTTGCCATTTGATGTTGCGAAACGTTGTGTTGGCCGCGTCAGCACGAATTTTGCCGGCAGGAAAAATGGTCCAAGCAATCGTTCGGTTTGTATGCGTACCGAACCGGAAGCCTCGAACCGAAACGGTTCAATACGAATACATGTACCGTTACACCCCTACAAAGTAAATAAATATTGATGCGTAGGGTCGTGTATAATATACAGCATCTAGCTATGCAATCGTTTATCGAGTCCTTTCTTTTAACAGTTTTACATTTCAGTTACTGTGCGCGTGATGAACAATAGTGCTCTGACTCTAGTGTTTTGCTCTAACAGACACCCGGCCGGTAGAAAGTAACATGATGATTTAGTTAACGTTACAGCAATAAAGTCCAGCAAGATAAAGTTGTTTTATGCGAAAGCATAGAACTTTTATTTACAAATATAATAATAGTAACATTGAATCATCTTAGAAAGAGTTTAATCGTGTTGACTGTTGTACCCGAACTGCGGAAACTCTGAAGGAAGATTAGGCGAATGCAAAATGTACGCTAGTAGGAAGTGGTGAAACGAGTTTTCATGCATTTTGACAAAAAAAAAAAATAATAATAATTGTGTTAGTTGGAGATCTGACCTCTTGTACTAAAAACAACTTCCATACTATTGAAGTAGCGCCCTTTTAGAGGAACTAAATCTTGATCTGATCCGGAGGCTGACATGCTGCTGTGTTGTTGTGCACGCGCTAAGTAACGTAAATACGCCATACGTCATCATATTTTCAATCATATCGCGATATGACAATTTTTTATAATGTAAAATTTTATACCGGTATTATCGTGGACGGTATGATATGGCACAGCCCTAGGCCAAACTATTTTTTGTCACATACAGCAAACATCTCCTCACTATCCGCTAGCTGCCTGTCCCCTAAACACACTGTAAAAAAAATGCGGTCTATGTAAACAACCCAGGCTCCACAAATGGCAACAAAAACAAACTGCGGCAACCCGCTCCACGAAACATAACAAACTGTTCCAGTCAATAACTGACAAGAAGGCCCTGGGGGTGGGTTTTGGGGGTCAGTGCAGATGAGGAGGAGGGAGGATCTACCTAGCCTCTGTTTTGTTTGAAAATACTTTAAATGTCAACAAGAAGTCACGTCACCCGACATCGCTTAGAGCACCTTTAAACTATTAGTTTCTATATACATAACATCAAATGTATAGCATATACATCTAATACATACAGTAGCATTAGTTCCTAATAATAGAAGTATTGATTGATAAATAATTTTACATAAAATATTGACTTGATTGTTCATCGTTTGATTCGTTTAGCTAGTTTGACTACAGCTGTTTTTTTTTTTGTTTTTTTTAAGAAATTAATATTTTAATTTCAGTAAGGATGCATTAAAGGTCCCCTGAAATGAAATTTTCACTTTCTGAGGTTTTTTAACATTAATATGAGTTCCCCCAGCCTGTATATGGTCCCCCAGTGGCTAGAAATTTCAATCGGTGTAAACCGTGCTTTGGCAATCTTTCTCTGCCTTTGAGAAAATGAAAGCTCAGATGCGCTGATCTTGAATCTCCCCTGTATGACGTCATACAGAGGAAAGGTAACCTCCCCTTTCTCTGCTTTGCCCGTCCCGGGAATATTTGGCTCGCCCATGAGAAAATGAGTTAGGAAGTACAAACGCTCAAGCGCCATTTCAGTTTTCTCCACCCATTTGAGTCTGACTTGCAAACGAGCGAAGCATGGCAGTTGATCATTGTTCGGATGTACAAATGAACACAAAAGTATTTTTTTAGTTCCTTCATCCGAGCCTCTGAAGAAACAATGGGTTCATTTTATTTTCTCTGGAAATGCGCCGACACAACTTCACAAAGTTTTGTATGGTCCAAACATTTCACAGACGACTGTTTCCTCAACTTGGGCCAATACAGAACTGGCCTCGATGAACGTCTGAAAATAAATTGATTGAGCTATCAAGCAACAATTTCTGATGTGTAACATTAGCCTAATTGTTTAAGTTCAGACTAATCTTTCTCTCAAAATCGTTCAATACTGTTTATGCATTTATGCCAAGTGACTAAAATATTAACTTCCCATGTTTCTTTTAGTAGGATAAAAATAATCGTATTTAAATCTGTGAACAAATATACAGAAAGCGATCAAAGAACAATCTTTCCACACAGCGCGTTTTTATCTGGACAACTCGTTATGAAATCAATGATGCACATTACACTGCACAACGAAGCTCTTACTGTATGTACATCATCATGTTTGCATTGGTGAAAGCATTGGAGAGAGTGCAGAAACTGTGTTGCAATGATAAGATCTTCATCCTTGCGATCAACAGACTGTCATCTGCTTTCTTAATCCTTATCACGGCAACATTTTATGTGATGGGAATAGATCTAGGTATTTAAAAAAACTTCCCACGATTCGGTAATCTCGATAGCTGTAATAGTAAAAACGTATATAGCTCTAGTAAAAGTGTTCGAGAGAGTTTCACATGGAATATGTAGCTATTTCATATGCAAGCATGTCAGCCAATCACAGCAGTGGGCGGTTACACTGAATCCCACTGCAGACACACCCCTTCAAACAGAGCGTTCAAATTAGAGGCTAAAATCAGGCTAGGAAAATGCCTTTTATTTATACATTATGACTATTTTTTGAGTTAAAAAACAGACTAACATTATAAGGGCAACATTGTAAAATAATAAAATAACCCCATGTCATGGAACATTTAATTTGATCAAAGCTGACAGTAAAGTATTTTACATTGTTAAAGCAGACAACAACAAAAATGCATGCTGTTCACTTGGACTTTTTATTCAAAAAAAGAATCCTGAGGGGAAAAAAAGATATCATAATTTCCACAAAAATATTAAGCAGCACGATTGTTTTCAACTAATTTTATTTGAGCTCCAAATCAGCATGTTAGAAAGATTTCTGAAGGCTGCTAAAAATTCATAAATAACATTTTAAAAGTTATTAAAATTGTTATATGTAGTTATTTTAAATTGTAACTATTGCTGTTTTATGGTATTTTTGATAAAATAAATGCAGCCTTGGTGAGCATAACAGACTTAGGGCCCTATAAAATCCGTCTTATTTTTTCCCAAATTCCGTTTTATTATTTCCCAAATTCCATTTTTTCCGTTTTAATTTTTGCAAATTCCGTTTTTTCCGTTTTAATTTTGGGGAATTCAGGGTTTTTTTTTACCCTTTACTGTTATTTTAGTTGTAAAAAGAGCTTTTAATGTTGCTTGCAATGTTAGTGATTAAAATGTACACAAATAAAATAGGCATTTACTCTTAAAATGACAAATACTGCACTCTAAGTACTTCAAGTAACAACAAAATATGGTTATGAGCTTTAAACTGTCCTGTAAAAATAAATTATATTAGTTTATACAAGTTAAAATAAAAGTCACACTCTAGCTGCGTCGTAATATGCATACTATCCATCCTAAATAGTATGTGACATTAGTAACTGTCAATACTATTTCGGGCATAGTATGCACATTGGGACGCAGCTTCTGTCTCTTGTCGAGCCTTTTTCTCTGCATTTTCCCCAGACATACGTTCTACTCCCACACAAAAACCGAATTTCATTCCAAATATGTAAAATTCTGCTAAATTCCGCGTTAACACTAGATTGCGCGTTAATTGGCCAATTCCGCGATTCCGTCCACGATTCCGTGATCGTGGAAATTATAGGTCCCTACAGACTTCATTTAATAACATAAACAAAATCTTAGTACCGTTTTGAACGGTAGTGTATATTTGCAGTTCCATATGATTCCTCTTCTGGCACAGAAATTACACACTTTACCTTTAAGTTCTAACATTTTGCTTCAGAACATTGTGTATTGTCAAATTATTGATGCCTTTCTTGATTTTTCTCTAGAAACTGATCCTGTCGGAGACGTCCATCTTTGACGTACTGCCAAATTTCTTTTACCACAGTAATCAGGTGGTACGGATGGCTGCTCTAGAGGTAAGACTGTCACGTTTTATGTTTATTTATCCATTATTTTTTGTCTTTATAAGATACCGAACATGGTTCCTGCCCTCTTTCTTTAGGTATATGTTCGTAGAGCTTACATCGCTTATGAACTCAACAGTGTCCAGCACCGACAGCTGAGAGACAACACCTGCATCGTGGAGTTCCAGTTCATGCTGCCCTCATCCCATCCAAACAGGTACCTCAAGATGTACCACAGCCCTCCTTTTCACACCTCTCACACCCCCTCGCTTGGACTGTGGAGGAGTATGTCAAAACACAATGAAAGAAACGGGCAATTTGGCCGAAATTGTGTTTTGAATTCTACATCTGCGTAAATAAAAACCACTGGTTGGTTGCGACACAGATTCTCCTCCACTGTACCACAAACCACTTCACCCTTAAAATGCTCTACCTGTGCACAATCTATGCCACTGATTTACTGTCTGCCATGATCAGGAGGTTTTTATGAAGTAAGAGTAGCAAAGCATTATTTAGTGACAGGGTCTGGATCTCAGGTTGCTCTTTAAAGTGTCTCTCATCTGTGCTGGCCACATCCGTGTGTTTCAGGTGACACCGATTTATTGCAAACTAAAGAATGCCACCAATAGGACATGCTCAGAGATTGTGCTGATTGGCTGTCTAACAGCTCGCTCTTTCTGCACTTCTTTCCCTTTTTTTTCATTCTCTGCTGATTGTGAACTAATTCAGTGTCCTCAGATGCATGTTATGCAGTTTTGTGTTTCTTGCTTATTCGGTTTGTGCATTTAGTTCTATTTTATTCACCCCCCCCCCCCCCTCCCCAGCTGTCATTGCTGCTTTGCCTGTGTTTTGTGTAAAATGAATTGCTTATGCATTGTACTGTTAAAGTACATAATGGAAATTTTAGCTGCATTTACTGCAGTGTTTTAAGAGCTGATTTGTTGCATGTGAGGAGGGGCAGTTATATGTGAAGTGTGTGGCTTGGTTTAGATTTGAAGTATTGTGGATGAATCTTAATTTGAATCCCCTAAAATAAAATAAAAATTCGAATTAATGCATGATATTAAAATTCTGGCCGATACGCTGATGTTTGTTTTGGTTTCATGGCTAATGATTAAAAAATGGCTGACATTCAAATTCTGTAATATTTTGTGTAAAAAAGAAGTTTATATGAAATACCTAGTCTAATTATTCCTTTTTTTAAATTATTTAAAAAAAAAAAAAAAAAATCTTTTTGTGTTTATTGCGTGGTGCTACAAATGTTTAGTGAAGTTTTGTATCATCAGAAAACAGAACAGACAAAAAGATTTTAGATTTATGAAACTATGTCAATACAGATAAATGAATATTGTCAATCAATCCAGAGCTAGTGTCCACACACCTGACATGTTTAACTGTTGTAGCTTATCCACGTTGTGTACACGAAAAAGACGCAGTCAAAACTCATTTCGCTAATTAAAAGTCTTTTTCGGTCACTGATTTCATTCCTCCAAAACCATTTTTTGGCCGAAAATGTTTGGTAGATTTACTTCTGATCTTATTAGTAAATCACATTATTCTCAGTCTAAATAACATGTAGCACAGTTCATTTAAAATTATACAATAATGACAACAGTGAGAAATGTGCTTAATAAAAATTTAAATACAAATTTAGGGGAAAAAATTTAGGGGACAAAGCAAAAAGTTAAAGCTCCTAAAGCTCCTATTTTTCTTTAAACAAATTCCATTTGGGGTGAAATGCGACCTGGATTTGTTCTTTATAGATTTCATAAGATTTACAATGTATTTAAATTAGAGCCAGACCGATATATATCGGCCGGCCCATATTATCGGCTGATATTAGGCATTTTCCAAAATATCGGTATCGGCAGTTATAATCGCAGATAAATGAATATTTCAAAAATAAAATAAAAACGGACAAAACACGCTTCAATCATCTGTCCTTGGCCTGTTATATTGAAAATGTATGTTTTACAATTTGCAGTATGACGTTATCTATTGCTAAATTATGGCTCATCATAGACTAGCTAACCACAAAGCTAGCTAATACCACTATCATCAGTGGAAGACCGCTAACGTTAACTTTAATGAGCTTGGAAATAGGGCTGCAACTAACGATTATTTTGATAATCGATTAATCGGACGATTATTTTTCGATTAATCGATTAATCGGATAAAAAATTATATTTCATTTTTTTGTTTATTATAACTACATAAAACCCTAAAACCCTAAAAACCACACTCTTTTGTGTGTTAAACAATCTACTTAATACAGACAACTTCATTATAAAGAAAAACAACAAATAAAAAAAATACATATATGACCATAACCTATGACAAAAATGCTATTGTAAACTAGATTAGTGGAACTCAGCAAAACTTAGCCTAGAAAAATCACAAGTGCACAATAATTTTAAAATCTGAACATTTAGTGAAAAAAAACATTCCTTAGTGGGGAACCAATAAGAGACAATAAGTGTAGCACTAACTCTGGTAAAACGTTACACATTGCTCTTTGTATTGTTCAGATGCACAGCTGTTTTTAATGTAAAGCACAGCTATTTAGTGAGGGAGCAAAATATATTAGATAGGACAGAACAAGAAAGGCTATTAATAAGCTTTCATTACGCAAATGTATTATGACATGATCATGAAAGAGCTGCACAAAGTGCTTATGCGCATCGCGAGCGCTGAATGATGCGCTTGAAGCAACACGGAGTCTAGCAAGATAGAAACCATCATAGACCTTATCTACGGATTAATTATAATAATACCATTGAATCATCTTGGAAAGAGTTTCATCATGTTAACTGTTGTAACGCGACGCGCTGTTTGAACACCGAATAGAGAATGACTGACAGCCGCAGTGGAGGGAAAAGCTTAGGTTAACTTGAATTTAATGACTTAAATATACATTTCTATCTCACATTATACTATAGTATGGCTTCATAAAGTATACACGATTAACGTAGCTCACCTATTTTGGTTTCAAAACGGCAAATTTGCCGAAAGGTGAATGATTTTCGTGTATGCTTCATATTGATAGCGGTTTCCTGATGCCCGCAAATTAGTTCAAACTCACGGAATCAAGATGTTGCAAGACCGAAGATAATGTGCTCCAAACCGTCCGTGTTGCGCGCGCGAGACAGGGTAGAGCGGCGAGGGAGAGAGACTGCGTCTGTGCCTCATGAAGCGCATGTAAGAAGCGCATGTAGCATGTAAACAATCCCCGTGACGTAATCAGACCAACTAATCGATAATGGCATTCGTTGACAACGATTTTCATAATCGATTATAATCGATTTTATCGATTAGTTGTTGCAGCCCTACTTGGAAACCACAATGAACTTTTTCTGCCTAAATAAAGTAATAATTACTATATCTATAACTAGCATATCTCTAGTTACCGTCCCTGCATTGTAAAATGTAAGTTAGACTTGCGAGGAGTGAACATTTAGACAGAGAAAAAGTATCAAACGTATGTTGTGCATTAAAGTTAGCTTTTCTTTTACATGTGTGTGAAATCCAACAACGCGAAGTGTGCGTTGCAGACTGTCGTTCTGTAATGGATTTATAATCACTAAATAGTAGGTTTTAGAAGGCAGGCAGCAACTGATTATTGAAAATGGTTTGATGTAGCTTGATGGAAAGAATTTAAAAAGTGCAGGTAAAAGCTGACATTGTAATTATAAGGTAGCTTATAAGGCAATTTGGGACTAATTATTATTTTATTTATCAGAACTTTAATATATTTTGATGTTCCTCTGTTGTGTTGTGACAAAAGAAAAGTTTTTTTTTTAAATGCTTTATCATATTTGTTTAGTTAAAACTCATAAATAACTACAAACAACTATGTTAGGGAAATTTGGTAATGTTTTGTTGCGCGTTTCTAAAAAAAAAAAAAAAAAAAAAAAAAAAAATCGGCCGATATATCGGATTTTAAAACCCCAAAATATTTGTGTCAGTATCGGCCTTCAAAATCCTTTATCGGTCGGGCTCTAATTTAAATAAACTAAATCAGTCAGTTATGCATTTATGCAGTGACCACATCCAAATAATTACTGAAGACTCATTTGAGACACTTGTATAATATAATTAAACTTTGCGCAAATGCAACAGAATTGTCTATGAGCCACTTCTCAATGGCAGCAGGCTGAGAGTCCAAGTTAAGATCGTACCGAAAGCAGAAACTATCAGTTATGTGAAAGGCCACACACTTCTGATCTCTGACTGACCCCTCCAATTGATGCCTGACACTAACCAACCAGTAATCAATGTTGTTTGATTGCAGAGGGAACATCCCCACTCTAAACAGGTATAGTACACATTCTTTCTTCCCTAAACCACAGTTTAGACTCGGAAAATAGAGTAGAAAAGCAGTTTGGTCAAACACATACATTTTAAATGTAGTTTGTTTTGTGTTCTATGAAATAACACAAAATAAGTATGCTATTCCGAACATAAAACAAGTGTAAACGCATATTCATATTTTAAGACATAATGTAACCTGAAACGAAACACATTCACATCCTACTGAATAGTGTTGTCAAAAAACTCGGTACTTCGGTACCAAGTCGGTACTAAAAAAAAAAAAAGTTACGGTACCAGCTTTTCTAGGTACCGAATACCAGGTTAATCCAGTTCTAGACGCGATGTCTGAAAGGTGCACAGTTGCGTCCTGATAACGCTGATATGGCTCTCTCTCTCTGAATCCACTTGTTGACACGAAAGGAGGAAAGAGCCAAATATGGAAATATTTTGGATTAGGCTAATGTCACGTTGCCATAAGAGGCCGATTACATGCAAATTCGCAATTTAAAATATAGGCGCGAGGCAAGCGCGCTCATAATTTGGAAAATTATGTTGTTCACGTGTTCACCGCTTTGGAAAGAATAAGCACGCGCAAAAATATAAAAAAAAAAAAAAAACACGCGCGATATGTGAACGGCCTCTAAAGTGCTTTCGGGGTAGTTTTACGATTACATGAGCACAATAGTATCCAACCGACACCAGAGTACTGGTATTAGTATCGATGCATCCCTATTTATGTCATTTAATGTCAGTGCCAGTTCTAGGCGTATTCTTGCCTTTATAACTCAGCAGTTTTACAAAATTAAATATGAATGCCGTTTTAGATTAAATAAAAGTACAGTCAAATCAAATAAAACATGTTTTTTCTCCTGTAGCCTATAGTTTTGTAATGCTACAATAAGATACCATTTATCAACATTAGCTACTTCACATCAACACATTGAGTGAACAATATATTTTTACAACATTAATTAATGTTTGTAAATGTTATTTAATAGAAACACTTGATTGTTCATGTTTGTTCACTTCATTAATTGTGCATTAAATAAATGTTAACGGATTAGAACTTTACAAACAACTTTAAAAATGTGTTAGTGTATACTATTGTTTATTTTATCTAATTTTTTTCTAAAGTGTTTATAATACAAATGTACAGTTTCCATACTTGTAACCGTGATAAACACTTAAATATATGTACATTTAAACTAAGCTTTGGTACCGAAATTGGTACCGAGAACCGTGAATTTTTACTGGTATTGGTACCGAATACTGAAATTTTGGTACCGTGACAACACTACTACTGAATGGATCGAATCTCACCTTAAGTTTGTTTTAATGAAAACAGCCCTCCAGTGGCACAGTGATCTCAGTGAATACAAACTAAATTGCATGGCTGATTGCACAACTCTCAACACAACACTGTGTGTCTGAAATTACCTTCAATGTTGTTTGTGCTAGCGCATTCAAATAGGGATACTCTGGTTATATGTTAAGTGACATTAAGTAGTTTAGACCTCATACTGGTTTTGAAACTGCATAATTGTGGCGATTAAATGTGCCGTGTGTATGTGATTTGTTTGTGTACGTTCTTGCTCTGTCTGTTTATGTGTGCGTACAAGTTCCAAAATGTGATTGACGTCATTGTCCTCCCAGGAAACTGTCTGCCCCACTACAGGACTACAAACCGCCAGATAACACAGCTAACACTAGTGCCGCCACAGGGGCTTCTTGTGACTCTGCTGAGAGTGAGGCCAGGTAGTGCAGGATAGGCTAATGTGTTTAATCACAGAGAGGGTTTAATCGGGGAAAGGGAATCTATACACTGGGCTTTTTGTTTTGTTTTTATGAAATCTGGGTTTTAAATCTTTTTAATTAGTCTTTAAATATGGGGTTGCTGTCCATACTAACATTTGAACAGGAGACTTGTCACATACTTAAGTTTAGTAAATTATGACAATTTATGGTAGATGTGCTGATTTACCTTATATTATGGGTCTTATTAAAGGAATGTTCTTGGCTAAATACAACTTAAAATCAATAGCACTTGTGGCATGTTCCCTCAGTTTTTAAAAACTGGACAAAATGCATGAATATTAATGCACTTGCAATGGAAGTCTAGGTAAAGTGTACAGCACCACAAAGTAACATTAAAAATGTTGACCGCTTTACAGCTTGGATATCAAACGTTTTTGATGAATAATTTATGGAAGCTGTTTAACAAAAAATAAATTTAGCATTTCTGCATTTAAACCTTCTGGGTATAAAATCCATTTATCCTGTGTGCAAACATTTTCTATTATTGTAAAGTAAACAGCTAAAATATTTACTGGAATATATATATATATATATATATATATATATATTATAATATTAATTAATTAAATATGAATATTTCTATTTAATATAAAGTATGTGTATATATATATATACACTATATGCTTGCAAATTTTTCTTAAATATATACATGCATATGATATATATACAGTATATATATATATCTTATGCATGTATGTATATATATATATATATATATGTATGTATATATATATATATATATATATATATATATATATATATATGCATATGCATATATATTATTTTATATATATATATATATATATATATATATATACAGTATATATCATATGCATGTATATATTTAAGAAAAATTTGCAAGCATATACTGTGTGTGTTAATTAATATTAATAACACATTTTTTTTAAATATATACATGCGTGTGTGTGAATTTTTAAATACAAAATAATTATACACAGTAAATACGCATATATTATGCAAACACAAACTTTTATTTTGGATGCGATTAATCTCGATTAATCGTTCCCCAGCCCTAATATATATATATATATACACATGCACATACATAGATATACATGACTTAATTATTTGTCATGTGTGAGGGTCTATAGTAACAGATTAGTCAATAAAATTAAATCTTCACAGTTAATCTCACAATTTCTGATTTAAGAGAGAAACATGAAATTAAGTCATAAAATTATCGAATGTGGTGAGTATTAAAAAATAGTTATATTAAACATATTTCATTAATTTATTATAGAATTAATGATACATTTCACAACCCTTAAACATTTATTTTATGCATTTTTCACAGACCCCAATTTGGAAAGCTGTGTGTGGTCAACAAGCCCTATAGACTTCTATTGTAAATGTGTAACAATAAACCAGTAAATCATTTTCTTTTGTTTTTAAAAATGGAGGGATGACTCAAAATTATGATAATTAACAGCAGGCCATATATAGATTGTATTTATCCTGGAATATTCTTAACTAACCTGTTCCTACACCATGAATTCAAATCAATAAATGAATAAGGATGCATGAATTCACCCATTCGATGAAGTTTCAGTCATACTTATGTTTCCTTTTACATCTGGTTTAATTGCCTCCGGACAACTGGGCCTTTTTATAATGTTCAGCTCTTACACAATCAGCTTGTGAGGAGGCGATGCTGTTCCTTTTCACACCTGATGTAGGCTGATGTGTGATGGTGATAATCTGGTCTTTTTCCTGGGGTGATCTACCATTTTTTCAGAGGTTATGTGTATGCAGCTGGATTAATGACAGGTCTTTTTGTGTGTGCGTGTGTGTGTGTGTGTGTGGTGCTCTCAGAATGTCTTTCTCCTCTAACCTGAACCACTACGGCATGGTCCATGTGGGCAGTGTTAGTGATGTACTCCTGGACACCTCCTTCACTCCACCCTGTCAGCGTATGGGTGCCATGGTTTCCTTCCGCTCCTTCCAGGAGTTCACCAGGTTAGTGTATGTTATGGTTTAATAAAGGAAACATGAATTATAAATGGACTGACTCTTGCTTATTAAATGCCCCTGATTTGAATCTGCACAATTCATGATAATGTATACATTTTTAACCCATACATAAACAACAATTCATTCATGCTGACATATTGAAATCACATGACAAGCAAAATTCTACTCGCATTATTTGTGTTACCCACCTATTATTATGCACTTTCATTCAGGAAATAAATATATCAACGTATATTTATAGTTGATATATTTATTTTACAAATATATTTTTGGTTTCGTAACAGAAAACTTTGTGTTTGAAATTTCATCCACACCAGTAGGTGTCAGTATAAAGTCTTAACATCCTGTCATTTCGTGACATAAAAACTTCAAGATTTTTTTTATTTATTTATTTTTTATCTTCCATCGAAACCTTGCAAATTAAGGCTCAGATTTTCACTACTCAATTTTCATGGCCAAACCATTTCATGATAATGGTATTATCGTGATATCTTTTTGTCAAATTAATTCAAATGAATTTATTTTGTCCAATTCATTTTTCATTTTATTTTGTGGTTTCTCTTTTATGGTTAAGATATCACACACAAAATCCAAGTGTAGGGAGACGTAAAGAGAGTTTGTAACCAAAGCTGTACAAAAAGAGTACAAAAACTTACTGTTGTCCTTTTTTTAATCCAAATTTTTTTTCAAGTGTGGGTAGAGTTGCTCACTTTCATCTCATCCAACATTATTTTGTGTGGCAGTGGTAGCTACCGTCTACATCTTTTTATTTTTTGGAGTTTATGACGTGTGGCAACCAGCATTAAGTTGCTGTACCACTATTTATGTTGTAATTATTTGAGATATTTTCTTATTTTTAGTATTAACATGGTCAAAAATGTATTTTTTATATCATCCTTTACAAACCTTTCAAATCCCAGATAAAATCTAGATCCCCAAACATTGTCAAACCGTGTTCACTCAAAAATACATTTAAATCTGTAATGTTATTTTGCGTTCATAAGTAGAATTATATTGTGATTTACTATTTTGAATTGTTGTGTGTTGAGAACGGAAGAGGGATAAACAAGATGGTTTAAGGTCGCTACTCCTGTCTCATGTGCTTTATTGCTGCTTATTACACGTCTATGTGAAATACTTGATTCTGATTGTTCAATCGCGCCATCAAGCGGTATGTTATTCCCCAATAACAACCGCTAATCCGGATAGCTGAAGTTCGCAATATGCTTGCTAGGAACGTTTTTTTCTTACTGTTTGGTGAGCTAACACTATTAAAACTCAAATTAATATTTTGTGTACATTTATGTCATCTGGGTATCGCTCTCGTTTCATACATACGCAGCTGCGGCCATTTTGTGACGATTGTTTTGTACACTGTAATGTATTATAAGATTACAAACTGGTACAATTTTAAAACCGTTTCATCCCAAATGAATATCTCTTATCCCTATAATTATTTATGTGATAAACCATACCATAAGTGGTATGATTTTACCGTATCACGTGTATGTCTTTAACCCTTGTGCATCCTTATGGACATTTTTGTCCTTTTCAGTTTTGTTTTTTTGATCACTTTCCCTGTGTTAAAGCTAACTGCAAAAAACTTGGCACAGGTGTGTATTTTTATTGGAATTTTACTATTTCACCGTCATTTTCTTAAAAAAATATTTTTTTGCATTAGGTTCAAAAAATACTCCCTCTCAGCACCTTTTGGACAAAAATGTCCCCATTAAAACCCAATAAAACTGCCATTTTTAATCCCCGGTTCAGTTAACTATAAAATTATGCAATCTTTGTTAAGAGGCTTTCATTCTGATGGCAAGGCTTCAAAATTGTAATTTTTACTATTTTTTTATCAGATGGTGTCATTTTTTTCAAGTTTGGCCAATAAAACAAATATCGCTTTATTCCTTTTTTTCTGGTTCGGCATACTATAGAGCCAACTGGATAAATTATGCAACGATATTTGTGTGGGTGTGTTGGTATGGATGTCAGAGTGTGGTTAGTATGTGTGTTATAAAAAAATATGTGTGTGTGTGCGCATGTGTGTGTTTGTAATACTGAGAGAGAAAAACTGCAAATTCAAATCCAATCACTGTGAGCACCAGTGGGGTTTTGCTGGGACCCAATGGGGAAAATATGTTACTACGCCCAAACAAACTGTTACCGAAAGCTCATTTTTTGAGATATCATCCTCAAATTTGGAACACAACCTATTTAGATATATGGCTTTGATTTTATTGCAGTTTTGAGTTCAACCTGATTTAAAAAATATATATTTTACATAAAATATTTTTTTTATAAATAATTTTTATAAACTTATACCTATATAACTTTTTTTTGGATTTACTTATTATTTTTTTACTTCAGCAATAATCTGCAATGGGTCTTCTTTAAAATGATACCAAACTTAAGTCTGTGCTCCAAAGGGTCACATTTTTATGACAGTTTTTTGACATGGACATTTTTGTCCTCTTTTTACCTATGTGTAACTTTTTTTAATTGATGCACAAGGGTTAAACTCGCGGCTTGCTAGCAACTGCTGAAAGCTTTGCATTTAAAGTGCTAATAAAATATTTAGACTTGGATCAATATTTCATGTCTGGTTATTTACTGTGGCACGTAACCGTGTAAAAAGCAGGATAATGTACATCCACCCGATTGTTATCGCAGAATAAACCCCCTCAGGCTGATGCAAGACCCCTTCACGTCAGGGTCCTGATCATTCTTTTCTGCGATAACAACTGGCTGGATGTACATTTATGCCTTCCTTACGAACTCCTAACCCACACCACACTTTACATATTATGAATTTTGTTTCATGTTGTACCCAAATTTGGTGTTTTAAGTTTCTAATGTGACTGTTATGATAGGAACATTAAGGATGTGTTGAGCTGTTTCTCTGACTCACCCCCCTGTACGCCAACCTTTCCTGAGGGGGGCAACCCTGTGCTTTATGGAGAGGAGGACAACAAGGTGAAACTTTGTCATAAAATAACATTAAGAAAAACCAAAGATTAAAAGTGTATATTCAATCGTTGTTATTGAAGATTTTTGGGGAAAATCAACGTTTTCTTCACCTAGTTTTGTTTTTGTTTTATTGTAGAGCATTCAAGATGAGGCAATTCATATCCTGAACGTGGCCATAAAGACGGACAGCGACATTGATGACGATGGGCTGGCGGCCATGTTCCGTGAGTTTACCCAGTCTAAGGTAAAATGTTCGGTTCTGTATGGGTTGATTGTCTTTAAAGGAGAACTCCGGTCAATTTTAACATTGAGCTAATTTTTTTTTGTACATTTAGAGTGCTGTCAGTACTGACAAAAACAACAAAAATCGGTGTTGCCTACACCGTGTTATCGTCTTTTTAAAATTCACACCCTGTTGACTGCAATGGGGCATGTTCTAAACCTTAACATCCTTGATTTGTCATTACAAGTGCACAGCCATGTGAGTGCTGTTATCAAGAGTGACCACGGTCAATCTGACTTAGGCTTGCCACTAGGGCTGAACGATTTTGGAAAATAATCTAATTGCGATTTTTTTAACCAATATTGCGATTGCGATTTAATATGCGATTTAAAAAAAAAAGTTATTTACCTTCTGTATTAGTCGACAAAGACAAGCAATAAATCATTGTACAGTAGGGATGGGAATCTTTAGATAGCTCATGATCCGATCTACTTTTTTTCTTATTAATTAATCTTAATAACTCTTAAAATATGGATTTAATTACATGTGTAAAAACACATACTTTAAAAAATAAATATAAAAAAACATTTAATTAAACCAATTAAACATTTAATTAAACCAATTTTAAATAGGCTATATAAAATAATATAGCTTCAAAATATAAAAGCTAGTAAATAAAGAGAAACAAAAAAAACATTACAAGCAATAAACAAAGAGTGGTCTCAGTATTTAAAAGTAGGCTGTCTGAATGTTTTTCATTCAAGAGCTGGAGTGATTTCCCCTCAGTTTAGATACGATTAGCTGCATTCACACTAATCCACATATCTCTTTTGAAATAGTAAATGTGGTTTGTCCTGTTGGTTTAAGACATAACTGACCGTGTTTACATCAATTTCGCGTCATAAAAGCATTTTGACATGCAAAATTTACCAATGAGTCGCTCACGGCCGCATGCACGAGCGCTCTTCACAAAGCATGCGTTAGTATTTTAAAATTAAAAAGCAGCCTTCTCAGTGATTTTCATGGTTTTAATATATAAGCCAACTGCATTCCAAAATACATAAATAATGCCTCTGTGAAGCATTTGTAAAGAAAATACCCGCGGGAGAGAACGCGCACTGCAAGTGTAACGTTATAACATCAAGCAAAGCGGCAAAACCTGTTCAATGAAGCCCGCGAATGTCCTTGTAATTTGGTTCAATCCCGAACTTTATGAAATAACGTTACTATGTTTTGGAAGGTTCGAGCGGTGTCGTGTGTGTGAGTGAGGAAGAGAGAGAGCGAGAAAATAGAAGCAAGCAGATTCAGAACACGGTTCGTTTCTAAAGCACGCGCAGCGTCATCACGCATCTGTGTTTAAAAACTATAAGCTCAGACTCGATTCTGAAATTCTCTGAATCGATCCAGGATTGTTGAGGAGAGGAGAGAATAAATAACACAATAAACTGTTCTTTTCTGGACGCCAGACCGCGTAGCGTGGCAAGTTGATGCTTTATCTTGCAGACTGCTTTTCTCTCGCGTGTCACGTGACCAATGTAATCGCAGCTCTTGCGATTACAAAATCGCGTTTCATCATATCGCGATTTTACCGCAAATGCAATTAATCGTTCAGCCCTACTTGCCACGGTAGTCGGTGTTACCGGTGTTCAGTTTCACCGGTGTGAAATTTTTTTTTTTTTAAATATTGAACGCAATTATGCAGTAGTCGTTAAATCCTGCCTATTAACACACACACAACCCACAGAAAAGACGCGCGTCAGTATCGAGTTCTCTTTCGGGCTTGAACAAACCATAACACACAAATTATGCCAAAATGTCCATAAGAGCAGTCTTAAACGAAGGTAGAGATTTGTGAGAAAATGGGACGCGTGTCAGATTGCGTCTCTGTCAGCAACGCCTGTCCGAATGCGCTCACTCGTTTTTACTTACTCCTTCTCATTCACTCCTTCAAGTGAACAGTATTAGTGGACTAATGAAGGGAATAGGCCTAGTAAATGAGGGTTTAGGGGGCGATTTGGGATGTTCTCGAGGAGTGAAAAACAGAGGACACTGACAAACGCGTTGACAGACAGGACCAAGCAGGTAATATTTAATATGAAACTTACTTAACTTACTTAACTTGTCTTAACTTTCAAATTTGGTCAGTCAAAGAAAATCAAACAATAAATAGGCCTACCGTTTTGTGGCTCTTTAATGTGTCGTGACAGATTGATAAAGCCAAGTTCCACCGACGTTATTCTACTCCTGACTGCTTTCTGACTGATCCTGCCAGATCATGTCTGTCAATCAAACTCCAAGCGAAGGATGAATTGACGCTAATTTAAAAGTGAAAGTTAGTTTGGTTTTCAAACTAGCGCATATAGGGCATTTCAGAATGTTTGTAAACAATAGGCACCGCGATACTTCCGGGTGGCAGAACGCGAGCGGCTTCCATTGACTAACTGAAGAGATCCAGCCGGCAACTGAACAGTTACACAGTTAAAATCATTGTTGTTGATCAAAGTTGAATCTATGGCGAAAATATGTTGTGTTTGGGGTTGCGCCACCAGATATACAGCAAAAGGTGTAGGTTTTTTTTATCGATTTCCTTCAGAAAAAAGTAAATCTATCCAGCAGAACCTGTGGGTGAGGAGGTTAAAGCGAGTGGACGTCGTCAAAAGTGCATGTCGTCTTCTAATTATGAGCCTGAGCCCGATTTAAACCCAACCATTTTAATACGTGACTTAGTTATACTCAACTAACTTAGTTATTTCTATTACTTTCTATGTTACTTTCTTTTGAGCGGTGAGTAAATGCTTCTTCATCGTAAATGCTTCTGATTGGCCAATGCGTTCAATAAATCAACACATATGTCTGTGATTGGCTTCATCGCTCATCGCTGCAGTCACGTTATAAAATGAAACTCTGCCATGTAAGTCATTTCTATTTTGTTTTAGTTGTTCTTGTTGCTTTTCTGCAACAGATGAAAACAAATGTATTAGTTTTTATTTGTTTTATTCATAGATATTTCTAGTTTGCGGGAGTCCCACGAATCGTTTTATTCTCCTGCAATCCGCACACACAGAGTGCATTACCGCCCGCACTCGGCCATAAGATCTAGTCCCGCGCCGCGGTCTAGTGCGTTGGGAGTGCACGTCTCTAGATCAAAGAATCTAAGCTTTAATAATCATGTCTGAATTTCCACCACGTCTGTTCTTGAATCAACTGTTGAAATGTAGATTAGGCTTCTGCCGGCGGTGTGTCAATTTACTAGTGTTGCCATAGGGACGCTTCGGCTTTTGCCACCCGGAAGAACGTCTTTTATTGTTGTGACGTCATGGTGAATTGTCGTATTCAGGGCACAATAACAAAACAGTTCTTTCCCGCACTACCGCACCGTTATGTATGCCCGTGAAAACATGCGCATTTTACGTTTGCCTTTAAATTAGCGATTTAAAAGCCCTCGCCGGTGAGACACCGGTATTACCGGTGTTGTCACATGTCGATTAACCGGTGAGAAAATATCCTCACCGTCACAACACTATCTGACTGCAGTAGATGTGAAAGATATAAATAAAAATGATGTTAATTCAGGCAGCTCACATACCTCTATTTGCTTCCTGTTTTCGGTCGAAGCCCACAGTAATCGATTGTCGATCTCACGCGCGCAATCATTAGTGAATATCTCAAACCTCCTCCGTGTGTTCAACATCTGATTCGGATGAACTATCCATTTGAGCTGATATTCTCATTACGCCACACAGTGGTCGGTTTAAGATGATATTCACCAATGATTGCACGCGTGAATTCGACAATCGATTACTGTGGGCTTTGACCGAAAACAGGAAGCGAATAGAGGTATGTGAGCTGCCTGAATTAACATCATTTTTATTCATATCTTTCACATCTACTGCAGTCAGATTGACCATGGCCACTCTTGATAACACCACTCACATGGCTGTGCACTTGTAATGACAAATAAAGGATGTTAAGAGGCTAAAAGCAGGTTTAGAACATGCCCCATTGAAGTCAACAGGGTCCGAATTTTAAAAAGACGATAACACGGTGTAGGCAACCGGAGTTGACTGGAGTTCTCCTTTAAACAGAGTTCAATTTTAAAGTTGTTTTCTCTACTCTCATTCATATCATTTCTACCACAGAAATCTCTGCTATTTGAGCACGGCATCCGAAGACTTACCTTCCTGGTTGCTCAAAAGGTATGCTTAGATGTCAAAAATGACATTTGAAAATGTTTCCACTCTCAATCAATCAAATTTTTAACTAAATCTATATCAGTTAATTGTTAATTTGAATAACTGTAATTCATAGTAACTGATCTCAAGCCTGGTACACCCACTGCATGTGTGTGTGTGTGTGTGTGTGTCTTTTTCCCTGTGCTCTTGACGCCGTTACTAACAGGATTTCAGGAAGCAAGTCAACTGTGAGGTGGACCAGAGGTTCCATGTAAGTAGTTGTGGAATGTTTGAGACATTGGCTCTGTTCCACAACCTTTTGGGCTGCTTCGCTGTCTACTCTAATAGGGCTGGGAGAAAAAAAAAATCGATTCACTTAGCTATCGCGATTACTTTTATTTATTTTTACGATTATAAAATCAATTTCTTTTTATTCCAGGATCGATATTGCTTCAAATTCAATTGCTTTCTTTTTGTCCTTGTTGTAGACGAGGTTGACAGAAGTTACTGTAGCCACTTTCGTTCCAACAGAGGATGAAATGTGTCATTATCTATGAGTGTTGAGGGACGTAAAATCCCAACTGGACGTGTGGAAGAGACGTGAGACTGAAAGCACTGAAAAGCTCTCGCACTACTCATAAATTGAGAGAAAGGACAATAGAGCTGCACGATTAATCTTTAAAAGACTGTGATCTCGATTCAGACACCCACACGATCTTTCAATTCGTCTGTTTATTAAACTTTGCGATAAACAAAATCTTATCGCAACATTCAAAGCTATGTTGGAGCTGCCGCTGAGCCGGAGAGAGTTGTCATAAAACCGAGAGTTGTCTTTTTAACCTCATAGTATCATTATTTCTGTGATGCACTAGTTATCATACAAGTACTTGGATAAAAGTTTAAAGTGCTGATGTCTACGATATGATCAAAATCAGAAACTTGGTGCTTAAAATAATGCATTTATCAATTACATTGTTTCAATTGACTGTTAAAAAATGTGTTGTTGAGAATTTAGTATAGTACAATGCTTCTGAAATAAAAGTCAGAAAGATGTGGTGATTTGTTTTTTGTAAATATGACTCATCTTATACATCATGTACAGTCTGTATAAGTGTATTATTTAAAGGGATACTCCACTTTTTTTGGAAATAGGCTCATTTTACAACTCCCCCAGAGTTAAACAGTTGAGTTTTAACGTTTTCGAATGCACTCAGCCGATTTTCTGATATTTAGAAAAATATCAGTAACCACACGGTTTCTGGTCTCATTGACTTCCAAAGTAGGAAAAAAAAATATACTATGGAAGTCAATGAGACCAGAAACTGTCTGGTTACTGATATTCTTCTAAATATCAGAAAATCGGCTGAATGGATTCGAAAATGGTAAAACTCAACTGTTAAACTCTGAGGGAGCTGTAAAATGAGCCTATTTCCAAAAAAAGTGGAGTATCCCTTTAACTTTTCCTGATTGTCTGTGTTAAAAAAATTGCAATATATTGCAATATCAAATCGCATTACTTGTAGATTCGGAATTCTTTAAAACAATCGCAATACACATCACATCGGCACCCAAATATCGTCATAGTATAGAATCGGGAGATAGTTGTACCGTCCCAGCCCTACTCTCTAAATATCTACCTTCTGAGGCGACGTCTTAACCAAAATGGAACCTCACAAGTGACTGAACTGAAATGCAACAAGAAATTTCACTCATGCAGGTCACACCAGTAGCACTACTTTTTTAGAGCGCATGAGAGTCTTGGCTTTAGCTTTCAGTTGATTCTAGTAGAGACATTAGCGTGTTGCTAAGCTAATGATTCAGAAATCATATAGCCCTCTTAATAGTAAAATATGTGGCACACACAGTTCATTTTTAATTAGACTGTGAGTATTTATCAGTTGAATTAGATTTAATTGATCAACGTTTCTTGGTTATGTTCACTGTTTTGGATGTTAGCATGTTGCTAAGCTAATGACCCAATACACTTAAGTATAAAAAAAATTGAGCTGTCATTTGATTTAAATGATGATTCAAAAATGAATTAATTGCATGATGCTGATTAATAAATCAAATCAATCACAAATAATCTCATATATCAATGTTTGAGCCCCGACATGGATATGGTGATGAAGACATTATTTGGAGTGAATGAAAAAAAAAATGAGCATAAGTTAACTTTTTTTATGAATTAAATGTTATGAACAATATTATTAGAAATAACGATTATTTTTAATTAACATTTTTACTCCTAGGTTTTGGAACAGAGCCATTATAAATGGTCTCTTAATTAAATTGCTTACACTATTAAGTATTTGAAATGTGCAGATTGTACCTGTTTTGTTCTGTAAATGGCTGAATGAATTCACTTGTTAAGAATGTTAAGCATCTAGTGTTATTTCACTGTTAATGTTTAATGTCTTTATTTCACAGAGAGAATTCCCCAAATTTTTTACGTTCCGGGCTCGAGACAAGGTGAGTTGTTTTACACAAGACTATCAATGACGGGCACAAAAGACTGTAACGATTTTAAATGCAAGCGTTCATTAAATTCATCAGCAGCTTTATGTTTAGGTGGGAAAATACAAAGGGAAAATGAGGAGGAGGAAAAGAAAGAGCTGTTCTATTCCTCCGTTCCTTGTCTTTGCTGTGCAAGTAACTCCATCATGATCAATGGCGTTTCTCTCGCTTCCTTCAGCCCTGATAGTTTGCTAAAATGGTTCCAGCAAAGCTCATTACATTAATGAACTTTTTAATTATTTGTCTCATTTGAGAGGGATGACATCCATTAGTAGCTGTGATTACCTACATTTACTAAATCTAGCTTGCTATTATAGCTCACGGGCACTTTCTGCTCCTGTAGACTCACTTTCTCTAAATTTAAAATGAGCAATTTCATTCCATTCATATTTTCTATTTTATTAATTCTTTTTTGCGTGCATGTTCATGTGGTGTTATTGAGTGCTGATGTATGTATGTGCAAATAAGAAGTGTAACCAATGTTTTTTTTTTTGTTTTTGTTTTTTTTGGCATCATGCATTTGTACATATAACATTCTTGACTTTCATTGGATGGAAACATTGTTTAGTTAAACTTTGTTTAATGTTTTTGCATTTAATTTTTAATATACTGGCAGTTGCATAGGGAATTTTGATTATATTAGGTCTCATTCACTAATCATTTTTGTGGATTATTCATATTTAAATGAACAGGGGAATGTTTCACAAAAATATTTTAATGATCTAATAATTTCCGATTTTTTTTTATTTTTTTTTTTTAATTGAGCCATTCTAAATGAGTTGCATAACGCTGCCAAACCAGCTCGATAATAAGATCTTTTCTTTACAGCGTTTATTCACTCTCAGCAAATATACAATGCTCTCAGGTGTTCCCACATTTTTTTGTAAATCTAGAATCTGTCAATTTTTGTATGAAATTTATTGATAAATGATGATTTGTTCACGAATACTGTTGCACACAGATTTCAAACTCAAATGTGTTAGTTAGTTATTTACAGTTAGTGAATGAAACCCAATGTTTTTGATTAAACTTTTTAGAAAAGACACTTTTTAGTGCTTTTTTTTATAGTTTTTTTTAAAAATAAATATTTCATAAAGTTCATTTTAATAGTTGTTTAGCCAAGCTTTATTTTTGTCTCAAACAGAAGCTTTTACCAATTTTGTCAATCCCCTTTTTTCAGTTTGTGGAAGACCGTATCTACAGGCACTTGGAACCCGCATTGGCTTTCCAGCTTGAGCTCAACCGCATGCGTAACTTTGCACTGACAGCGATCCCCTGTGCCAACCACAAAATGCACCTGTACTTGGGAGCCGCTCGCGTGGAGGTGGGCACAGAGGTCACTGATTACCGCTTCTTTGTACGGGCCATCATCCGCCACTCGGACTTGGTCACCAAGGTAGGAGCATCACTCTAGAAATAAACATGGTTAGGTGTGTGACGCTTTGGCTTTTCACACTGCACTTAAACCTGGGTTATCATCATTCTAAACCCCGCTTTTAACACTGGGGAAAGGAACGATTCACACTTGTAAATTAAAAGTGGGATAAGAAACTCGCTTTAGCTGGGGTTATGAAACATTTCTCTGGAGTAGGGTTAGCACCACATATGCAGTGTTAACCCTGCATTGTAGTGCCAAACATGTACATTAGAGCCAGACCGATATCGGTATCGGCAGTTATAATGGCCGATAAATGAATATTTAAAAATAAAATAAAAACGGACGAATCACGCTTCAACCATGTCATGAGTGTTCTCAAAAAGTGCAGGTAAAGGGATAAGCAAGCTGACATTGTAATTATAAGGTAGCTTATAACCAGGGCCTGAAATTAACTTTTTCGGCCACCGGCCACTGTGGCAGGTGGATTTAAAAATTCACCTGCCACAGAGACTTTTTACCAGCCACTTTTTTTTTTTTTTTTTTTTTTTTTTTTTGCCTCATATTTTGCCTCAGCCAAAAAATGGCTGGTAAAAAGAACAATATTGTGAAATTTCTGTTTTTTTTTTTCTTCACCTTTATAGAAAGGTGAAAAAACAGGAATTTCACAATATTGTTCTTTCACTTGTAAGAATACACATTTAAGTTCTGTCAAGTAATAATAATAACTCTAAGAACATACATTTAAAAAAAAATCGTTTTATTCATTGATTTTGACACTCACACAATATAGCCTAGTATAGGCTATAGTATATACTCAACACAGGCAGACCTACCGCAGCTCGTATGTAAACAAATCACACGCGGCTGTGTTGATGGATGATTTAGTCACGTAGACAGATCCTGACAGCTTTTAGTTACAGCGTTCAGGAACCGTTAACTATGAACTAAATTAATATTGTTATTACTGGTAAAGTTACCGGGTACCGGATATTTTCTCACTGGTTCCATCCCAACTCCCAACACACATCTGTGCAACTCTCATTGTACTGTAGGCTACATCAGCGTTACATTATCTCATCCCATCTCACCAACAGTTTAATACTTGCACATCCAAACGTAGTCAGAAAAGGGCCTCGTCTTCTTCTGATCGCATGAACGTTACGAAACAACAGTTGCTGTCATAAATCAGCCGCTTACGAACCTTGCCATTGCTGCCAATTGTCCACTTTGTATTAAAATGTCTTACTTTTCTTTTTCTCATCCTCATATTTTTGTTGGTTGTTTGTTTCAGCTGGCCTCTTTACCCCAGTAATGTGCCGCCACATTTTAGCTAAAGTCAAACGCAATGGCAGACTTAGTTGAAATTTAAAAATCCTTATGAATCACTCAATTCTCATTGGCTACCTGCCAATGTGGCAGGTAGATTGACAGTGTTACCCGCCAATAGAAAAATTCACCCGCATTTGGCAGGTGGTCGATTGTTAATTTCAGGCCCTGCTTATAACTATAAGGCAATGTAGGGACTAATTATTATTTTATTTATCAGAACTTTAATATATTTTGATGTTCCTCCGTTCTGTTGTGACAATAGAAACAAGTTTCTTTTTAAAATGCATTATCATATTATTTTAATTAAAACTCATAAATAAATAACTGTTAGGGAAACTGTTAATATTTTGTTGCGTGTTTCTGAAATTAAAATAATAATAATATCGGCCGATATATCGGAATATCGGATTTTAAAACCAACAAATATTAGTATCGGTATCGGCCTTCAAAATCCTATATCGGTCTGGCTCTAATGTACATTGTGAAACAAAGCCGTGTTAGAATTAGGCATGCACCGATATGAAAATGTTGGCCGATAACCGATATATTGGCTTATAAATCCAAATTTTTATATAATTTTTGAGAGCCTGATTTACAAAATCAAAAGTCTCACCATTAAAATCAATGTCTCAAGCACGCAATTATAATGTTCTCATTAAATTGTACGTAGCCGAGTAAGGCTCATACCGTATTGTACCATATTGATTCAGATCTTATTTAAATCAATTCAAAAGCATCACAGAGAAGAGTGTGCGTCTGAAGTGTCTCAGCTGAAGGAAATAATCCAATATTTACTGGCTTTAAAATAACCGCCTAATTTTCTTATCAGGCCGATAACATTAAAAATGAACATATATCAGCCGATACCGATATGGTGACTGATGTATATCGTGCATCCCTAGTTAGAATGTTATGTCTAGATTAGATTATGTCTAGAGCCATTCCAGGGTGGCAGCAGGTCATTAAAAAGTATTAAATCAATTTTCCTAAAAATAAGGCCTTAAAAAGTATTAAATTGTCTTAAATTCAGATTGGATAGGTCTTAAATATGTTTGTCATGTCACCGCAAAGATGCATCGCTCTGCCAGCCAGATCGAATATTTTCTATGTAAGGGTACCATTCTGTTTATTTTTAAGTGTTTGTAGTATTATTTTATACGGAAATCAATTATTTATAATTCCTATAATGAGAATAAAGTTGGGGTTAATTCAAATAAAGGAAAACAAATATTGATCTGAAATATAGCAAATTAATTTTAATTTATTAAATTAAAAGGTGCAATTACTAAACATATCTCAAAGTCTTTTTATCTTTTTATTAGTTTAATTAATAAACTAATTATATGAAACTGTTATCAGTACACCATAAATAAACTGGTTCTATGCCTTTATTAATAACACTAAATCTAAGCCTTTATCAATATACTTTATTATTTAAAACATACAAGGCTTAAGACATTCATAAAAATGCCTTCTATATTTCTTTTCACTCCATTGTACTCCTCAGGCTACCGCGTACGCAATTGACAATTGGTTATTGTCATTTTACCATTTTGAACAGACTGTGTGTTTTACTGTATATTTTCATTTTTAATTTATATTTCCATCGTAAGTTTGGTCTTAAATTTAAATTAGAAGTGGTATTAAAAAGTCTTAAATTTAAATTGTTTATACCTGTAGCCACCCTGCATTCGTGTGCTTCGTTTTCACATGGTTTGGACTTTCACAGAAACATACGTTGTATAAATGGTTGGCTGTGTAGCTTTTAGCTTTTACATAAACATAAAAAACATTAATCTGGTGCTGCAGTCATCCAATCAATAGTCTCTCGTAGCCAGAACTTCAGACTTTTAGCAGAAGGTCTGGACTCCATAGCAGCTTTCATTAGCCAAGGACCGCCCAGAGGCAGTCTGACTGACATGTAAAGGAACCAATCACAGTTTTAGTTTCGAGTCATGTTTAGGGTTGTGAAAATGTTACGTCAATGTCTATGCCACAAGTTTTTCATACTTCACATACCTTTAAAAAATCCAGCATTTAGCTGATCCTGAAAAGCGCTCATTGTCACAGACAGTTGTACGTGACAGAATTCTTCTTCCATGAGGGGGTTTGGCATCAACAGAGTTTTTGTTTCTAGGCGGACCGTTAAATAACACGACACGCACGTCTCCCGGACATCCTGTGGAATTAAACTCAGCCAAATCAGATGAAGATTGTTCAAATGCTGAAATGTTTCCAGTTACGTGTGCCATATGCATCAGAGGTTCAGCCAGCAGTCCATGTGCGTGATATCTGAGGCTGAGACTATCCAATAAATAACACTAGCCATGTTTCCATCGACACGTTTTTATTCGAATTAAGTGATATCGAATGAAAAAAGCCTTATGGAAACAGTAAAATTCGATGAAATTTCATGAAAATCGACTCAAATGAAATGCGTTCGGTCTCATCGAATTTTCTCTTGATCGATATACGGCTTATGCGATAAAAGCTGATGGAAATGTTATTTGCCGAATAAATAATGAATTGCGATTAAGTTTTATGCCCTTTTATGGTTGCAACACGTCAGAAGACGAGTTCATTTCCGGCCAGTCTGTTTGCGCACACATGGCGGATGTCAACAAAGACAGATGTAAGTGGACAAAGCAAAAAGATGCTTCAACCAAAGGGTTTCCGTAAACCACGATCTCCCAGAACTGATGGAGCGCTCGTTCCCACACCACAGTCACCTCCGTTGTCGTCGGGCATACGTGCGTCGTCATCATCATAGCAATGTTTATAGCGTCGTTGTTTTCTTAGGTTAGTTTTGCTTGTTTTTACGTGGCTTGGTTGAATTGTAATGTAGAATGTGGTCTGTTTTTCTAGTTAACAGACTGCGGCGCTGCTAGTATAACACACCGTTGCCATGGACGCAGTTCAGAGACGGAACAGACTATTTTCTTTAGCAGAAGCAATACTCGTTTTTAAATCAATAAACTCGTTTTTAAGTCAATATTTTGTGTCAAATTATTGATTTATTTGGTTGATTTATATGTAATAAGCAGGATAATATAGCGAGGCGGTTGTTATAGCGAATACAACCACCGCCTCGCATACATTATCCCATTCATGTGTCGCAATCAGCTGGCACATAAGCATTATTAGCCTTCAACTTCTGAAATATTGATCATTTTTTGGTAGATGGCGCGATCCGTTTTGTCTAACAAAACTTTGGTCGCAAAAGTTTGCTTGAATGTTGTTCGATTTAGTGCGAAAATAAATGGAAACACCTTAAAATGTCTCAAATCAATTCGATATACCAATTTGATCGCAAAACAGCATGTGACGTCATTACGTACAGGTTTTTATTCGCTTTAAAGCCGTTGGATGGAAACACACTTTTACTAGCTTTATCCGCATGAGTTTTTTTAACCGAATTTCAGATAATTCGATTGACAAGTGGATGGAAACATGGCTACTGACACGACAAATATGCAAATAAAAATGTTAACCCAGGGTTTAGGGATCTAAAGGGATTAGTTGTTATCCCCGGTATATGATGAGCAATTTGAAATGTGATGCAAGATAACTCAGGATTTTGCTTACCTGGGGTTTAGAATGACCCAGGGTTAACTTTTCAAGTGTGAAAAGCCCTTGTGTGTGGTTCTCTTCTGTGTAGGAAGCATCGTTTGAGTACCTGCACAACGAGGCAGAACGTTTGCTGCTGGAGGCCATGGATGAGCTGGAGGTGGCCTTCAACAACACCACAGTACGCACAGACTGCAACCACATCTTCCTCAACTTCGTCCCAACCGTCATCATGGACCCTTCTAAGGTTTCAATGACTTTCAATTGATTTTTTGGTGTTTTTGTTTTAGTAAGGTACATATTTGCATGTGTTTGACCCTTTGTGTTCTCATCAGATTGAGGAATCCGTGCGCTCCATGGTCATGCGCTACGGCAGTCGTCTGTGGAAACTCCGCGTGCTCCAAGCTGAGCTGAAGATCAACATCCGACTGACGCCCACTGGCAAGCAGATCCCCATCCGCCTCTTCCTGACCAATGAGAGTGGCTACTACCTGGACATCAGCCTGTACAAGGAGGTCACAGACTCCCGTACAGGACAGGTGGGGCACAAAGACCGACAGGTGGGGCTCACGTGTCTCTCATTAACACACACACATACATACACACACATCTCAAACTGAACTACAGTATTATGCCTTTGTCATCCTTCATTGTTTGTTAGTCATTGTTATTTTCTGTCGATGGTAAATTCAGAATAACAGTTCTATTTTAATATATATTTTACTCCTTTGATAGCGAAACTGAATTTGAGCAGCCAGTACTCCTATTTTCAGCATCCAATCTTTAAAGCAATCTAATATGCCAATTTTAGTGCTCAAGAAACATTTCTAATTATCATTAAAGGCACAGTATGTAAGTTAGTCGCCAGTAGAGGACGCTTTTTCAAAACAATAACAAAGGGCGTAGCTTGATGACTCCGTGAATGAGTGTGGAATCATAGGAGGTGTCGTCTTTACCTCCACAGCTGATGGAAAGCAATCCGACAGGACTCAGGCAGAAATCATGTTCATGGGTGAGCTAATGTATTAAAGTTTTACTTATGTTATTGTGGTATGAAGCAGGGCAAGGCCGATAACTTGGGACATTTTTACGTTGCCGTTTTATTATTACCTATATGCTGCAGTCGGCCGCTGCCGCTTCTTTCGATTTTGTTGTTTATTTTATGACTAAAAATACATTTATCGTCCGCCTTCTTCCCTGAACTTGAAGTTTGTTACAGTTATGTTTGATCCAGGGTTTCCGGTAATTACCGGACATTGGCCGAGAAAAAAAATGAAATGTTCGATAAAAAAATTAAAGGGATAGTTCACTTTGAAATTAATTTTTGATATGTTTTAGCTTAACCCAAGGGCATCCAAGATATCTACATACTCCTTGTTTCCACAGTATTTTCAATTTTGATTATTTTTTTTTTTTTTAGGTCAAACCGTTCTTGTCTGTCAGTCATATAATGGAGGTATATAGGGTCCCCCTCAAAGAGCATGCACAGAGAAGTCCAAATTAAACAGGACGTGACCGTGATTACAAGAGGTAAAAACGATATAAATACTGTTCGTTTTCTCACACAAACCGCTCGTTTCGTGTCTTAGGTCATCAATGTGTACTTACGTTTACGAGTCATTAAATCATGTTTAATTTGGACTTCTCTGTGCATACTCTTTGAGGAAGACCCCATATACCTCCATTGTATGACTGACAGACAAGAACGGTTTGACCTAAAAATATTAAAATTGAAAATACAGTGGAAACAAAGACACCTACATCGTGGATGCCCTTGAGGTAAGCTAAAACATATCAAAAATTAATTTCAAATTGAACTATCCCTTTAAATTTCTCCGGTCAAATAGTCTGATTAAAATTGCGTAATAATCCCCCCCCCCCAAACACAATATGAATTTGAGAATAAGCCTAAAATATATACAGCAAAAATACTCAACCTTTGGCTATGTTATAAAGGAACAGGTTCTACCGTTTGAAAGTTATTAAACAACATCGCTGCATTTCAAATAAAGTGCATGCCTAAAACAGCTGTAATATAAACCTAAACAACGAAAGATTGAGTGAGACGTTTCAAATGTGGCCAGGCCCAGGCAGGCTTAGCTTTTTTTCAGCGGCCAGACGCGACGGACGATGGTGAATCAGGAACATCTCATTATATGGATCAGTGGTTCTAATCCGTGTACGCATAGTCTACAATTTTTTTTTTCTCATCAAAACTGAATAGCCTATGTTCATCAATGGTTACAGTCTATAATATCAAGCAGGGACACGTTTGTGTGCATTTTATTTTGTGATTTCACTAGAATGAATGAGTCTCCGCAACGGCGATAGATTAAAATGCGCGTCCGAGTGATGATTGTGCAACTCGCACAGTGCGTTGTCCATGCAACTGATAGCAGCGGGCACGAGTGCTCAGCTTGATTTCAAAAACAACAGATTTTAGCGCTAGATCTCTTATTTAATACCGAACTAAATGAATGATCTGCTAGTTAACTGGAGACGTTTTATTTATTTGTATTAGTTAGCCTACATCCGTGCCTCAATGTTTCAAAAAGTGAATGTGTGTGAAACCATAGTAAAAAACAATTGGTGTTGATTGACGCCAATTGGACATTCATGTTTTTTTTTTTTTTTTTTTTTTCATCTATTTGAAAGTTAGGCTAATAATAACATATTGCATTATATACAACCTGATTATGTCATTTTTTTTAAGTTACATAGCCTGCCTCCAGTTCTCCTCAACTTGACTAAATAAGAGGCAATATTTGACCAGCATATCATCAAAATGTCCGTAAAACGAAACATCTGCTGGTCACTTTGACCGAGACCATTTTTTTCTAGCGGAAACTCTGGTTTTATCACTTAAATACATGTTTATTTTCTAACCCCAAGTGCTGAATTACAAGTACTACTCATACAGGTCAGTTTGTCTCAAAAATTAAAATTGTGGGGCAACGCAGCGCTGTGTTGCTTGATCAAAACAATCATACTAAATAGTTTGAGTGTGTTGAAACTTGTTACTCTGTGCGTTAACTCGATGGCTGGTATGAGACACATGCTCAAGACATTTTACTTGTTTAAAATAGCTGATTTCTCCAAATTTAAACATTGTTGGAAACATTTGGGATAATGTAAGTACTCAACAAAATATATAACATGGTTTTAGTGGTTTTTGGATATTTATATCCAAAAATCTTACATATTGTGCCTTTTAATGTTGGAAACCTGTTGTGCTTCTTTACATATTTTTGGTGAAAACCCGATACTTATTATTAAAAAAAATGTTTTCATGATTATTTACTTAATAGAAAATTCAAAATGAACAGCATTTATTTGAAATAGATATAATTTTTAATATTATAAAGGTCTGTCCCTTTTAATCAGTTTAATCCATCGTTACTGAATAAAAGTATTGATTTATCAAAAAAAACACACTGACCCCAAACTTTCAAACTGTTTTGTGTATTTTTATAATATTAAAAATAATTATATTGAACATCTTGATATTTATTATTAGGGCTGGGCATTGAGACAAATTTCACAATTCGATTCGATTCCGATTCGATTCAATATTGCTTATTTTGGATATCAGTTACAATAAATGGCAATTTTTCTCAAGGGAATCAAATCTCTTAACTAATGCTGTAAACTATTGGAGTCTAGTTGTAGCCTACTAGGCTTCATTAGCCTAATATGAAGGTAATAATTAACTGTTTTGTAGCTATACAAACACTTAAATTACACTTTCATTTATTTTTATAATAAGAAGATTACAGTATATGAAATATAAACATTTAAATGGTGGCTGTCATAAAAACTTGCCAGATTTATTCAAATATGCATTAAATATTGAAGAACATTAAGATTATAATGCATATGTAATATGGTGTATATATTTAGTAAAATGCTCCTCTCTGGAGTTATTTCTTTCTAGCTGACTAACAAGTTGATGTGGGTTTTCTGAGGTAAATTTGACGATACATGACATTGATTACAAGCTGTTTAACTGACGTCTTTCCACGGTTGAAACGCTGATTGAGCGACTCAATGTGACATGATACGGATTTCGATAAGTTGTACTCTATCTTTTAACACACTTTCAGATGCTCACTCGTGTTTATTTCGCGCTGTAGCTGGTATTATTAACCCGGAAGAGAGATCAGCGCTCCTGCTTCTCTTGAGCTGAGCCAGAGCGATCTCACGCCACAGCGCCAAAACGTTATTTATGTTTTTGAATTTCAAAAGAAAATGGACGTAATTTGAAAATTGAGATTTTGTTTCATATCAATAGTAACAAAGGACAAAGATTATTGCGTTTTTTTGGATGCGCGCAGGCGCGATACAATGTTCCATTCATTGAAATGAAACAGGATGACTAATCGATTCTTGAGATTTAAGAATCGATATCGGTTCGTAAAAATGAGAATCGATTAATATCGAGAAATCGATATTTATTACCCAGCCCTATTTATGATATGTATATTTATTATTTATGAGAACATTTTATTCAGTCATGTGAACATGTACACATGTACATTTGCTGTTGTAGTAAGGCAGAAGTTACCACTAGGTCCAGTAATATCGTTCTTTAAAATATTGGTGTTCAGTGATTTGCCATTGTGTTAGTTCACAGTTTCGTTTCATTTGTCAGTGATGTGCTGACTTATCAGTCTAAATATAAAAAAGAATCGAGTTTTTAAAATGTTTGCAAATCACCTTTAGTCATTGTTGCATCAACTGTCTGTCTTTTTTGTTTCCATCATTGGGCAACTGTCATCTGCCTGTCTATATGCGGGGATATATTTATATTATTTTTGTGGTTAATTGTATAACTTTAACTCTGACTGACTGGCTGACTCTTTCTTACCCTCCATCTCTTTCCTCAGATCATGTTCCAGGCATATGGAGATAAGCAGGGACCTCTTCACGGCATGCTCATCAACACACCCTACGTCACTAAAGACCTCCTGCAGTCCAAACGCTTCCAGGCCCAGAGCCTCGGCACCACATACGTCTATGACTTCCCTGAGATGTTCCGTCAGGTATCGTCCACATCGCTGAAAAATAGTAGTCTAGTGATGACAAATATTTAAGAAACTCAAGATATGATTTGAATTCAATTCAGGGCATCACAATGCATTTACAAAATGATTTATGCATCTGTACATCTCAATTTGTCAACAACAATTGGGTGAGCAAATCATTAGGGTGCACATATTTTTCCATAAAACAAAACAGCCAATCTAAAACTATATATATATATATATATATATTTATATATACACACACACACACACACACACACACACTCTCTCCTAAAGGATTAATAGGAACACCTGTTTGATTTCTCATTAATGCAATTATCTAATCAACCAATCACATGGCAGTTGCTTCAATGCATTTAGGGGTGTGGTCCTGGTCAAGACAATCTCCTGAACCCCAAACTGAATGTCAGAATGGGAAAGAAAGGTGATTTAAGCAATTTTGAGCGTGGCATGGTTGGTGCCAGACGGGCCGGTCTGAGTATTTCACAATCTGCTGCACAACCATTTCTAGGGATTCCAAAGAATGGTGTGAAAAGGGAAAAACATCCAGTATGCGGCAGTCCTGTGGGCGAAAATGCCTTGTTGATGCTAGAGGTCAGAGGAGAATGGGCTGACTGATTCATGCTGATAGAAGAGCAACTTTGACTGAAATAACCACTCGTTACAACCGAGGTATTCAGCAAAGCATTTGTGAAGCCAGAACACGCACATCCTTGAGGTGGATGGGCTACAACAGCAGAAGACCCTACCGGGTACCACTCATCTCCACTACAAATAGGAAAAAGAAGCTACAATTTGCAAGAGCTCACCAAAATTGGACAGTTGAAGACTGGAAAAATGTTGCCTGGTCTGATGAGTCTCGATTTCTGTTGAGACGTTCAGATGGTAGAGTCCGAATTTGGCGTAAACAGAATGAGAACATGGATCCATCATGCCTTGTTACCACTGTGCAGGCTGCTGGTGGTGGTGTAATGGTGTGGGGGATGTCGTGTTGGGAAAGTTCACTTTCTACATGAACTAGTTCAAAGTTCAGTTCACAAATTTTAAAATGAACTAATTCAGTGCATAGTTCATACTTCACAATTTTGAACTAAGTTCACGATTCCAAAAATTGAACTAGGTCATAGTTTTTTGTTTTTATTGTCACAACCCATATACATCCACAGACAGCAATTATTTTATTGGCGGGCAAAGTTTACACAAAAATGTACTATTTTTCCCATACTCACCAACCTTAAAACCTTAAAACTGATCATATACGACATCTCCTCGCTGCTTTGTCAACATATGCTGATTTTTGTTTTGATGACGCATGCGGCGGCCGCAGTGCGACACTGGTGGCTGGTGTTGCCAGATTGGATTTTTTTTTTTGCTACATATTAAGGCCTGTTTATGTGTGTTTTATACATGTTATACATATGTGTGTTATATGGATGGCTCTATAAAAATCTAGCACCCGTTTGAACAAAGTTAAACTAAGAGAGCATGCGTTCACAGACACCAGAATGAGCGCATTCATCAAGCAGTAATACAGTACGTTCAAGTAATACAATTATCGTTCAATGAACGCGTTCAGGCACAACGCTGGGGGGATGTTTTCTTGGCACACTTTAGGCCCCTTTGTGCCAATTGGGCATCGTTTAAATGCCACGGTCTGCTTGAGCATTGTTTCTGACCATGTTCATCCTTTTATGGCCACCATGTACCCCATCCTCTGATGGCTACTTCCAGCAGGATTATGCACCATGTCACAAAGCTTGAATCATTTCAAATTGGTTTGGTTGAGTTCACTGTACTAAAATGGCCCCCACAGTCACCAGATCTCAACCCAATAGAGCATCTTTGGGATGGGGTGGAACGGGAGCTTCATGCCCTGGATGTGCATCAATATGGGCCAGCATTTCTAAAGAATGCTTTCAGCACCTTGGTGAATCACTGCCACACAGAATTAAGGCAGTTCTGAAGGTGAAAAAGGGGGTCAAACACAGTTTTAGTATGGTGTTCCTAATAATCATTTAGTTGAGTGTATACTGCTGTTCAGAAGTTTTGGATCTGTAAGATTTTTAAAAACCTCTTCTGCTCACCAAGACCCCAATATTGTGAAATATTATTACAATTTAAAATAACTTTTCTATTTGAATATAATTTAATCCTATGATCAAAGCTGAATTTTTCAGCATCATTACTCCAGTCTTCAGTGTCGCATAATTCTTTAGAAATCATTATGATATGCTGATTTTCTGCTCAATAAATGTTTATTATTATCGGTTTATTTATTTATTTATTTTTCAGAATTCTTTGATGAATAGAAAGTTCAAAAGAACAGCATTTATCTGAAATAGAAAGCTTTTGTAACAGTATACACTACTGTTCAAAAGTTTGGGTTCAGAAATAAAATAAATCAATACTTTTATTCAGTAAGGATGCATTAAATTGATCAGAAGTTGCAGTAAAGACATTTATAAGGTTATAAAAGATTATATGTCAAAGAAATGAAATAGTACTTTCTATTCATCAAAGAATCTGTTTTCAAAATTGATAATTGTTTACTAATAAATTCTTTAATCTTTTTTAAGAGCACTTGAAATATGAACAAATATTGATTGCGATGTCATAACTTCTAACTATACATTTTTCTAAGTGATTATTTTATTTTTAGTAATTTTTTCTGTGTCCATTTTTTTCTAGTCTCTAAGGAAGTTATGGCAGTCCATGGATGCACACGCCCACTTACCCAAGTGTCCTCTTCCATCGGAATTGCTCACCTTCACTGAGCTGGTTCTCGATTCTCAAGGTCAGCTGGTGCAGATGAACCGCCTACCTGGAGGAAATGAGGTTAGACTGCACCATGTTAATGATACTGTCTAACTGGCAACATTTTTTGCTTATCCTAAACACAACAACTATGCCCTTCACAACTTCAGCTTAATTTCACAACAAATCATCACATGCAGTACACTTTGCACACTGTAGGGGGCCCCTTTGCTTCTTAAATGTGTGTGTGGCTCTGCAAGCATGTATTTTAAGTGAGTTTAGTTGATCACAACTTGCTTAACACTCATGATTCTTCAATTGTCTGATTCACTAGATTGGCATGGTAGCATGGCGGATGACTATCCGAACCCCCGAGTACCCGGCCGGCCGTGAGATTATCGTGATCAGCAATGACATCACACATAAGATCGGCTCCTTCGGCCCACAGGAGGATGTTCTGTTCCTGCAGGCTTCAGAAATGGCTCGGGAAAGCGGCATCCCTCGGATCTATATCGCAGCCAACAGCGGAGCCCGTATCGGCCTGGCAGAGGAGATCAGACACATGTTCCATGTGGCCTGGCAGGATGTGGCGGACCCATACAAGGTCTGGAGTGGCTCCAGGGGAAGGGATCAGTGATCATTAATATAGTGATTATCTTTTGGATGTGTGTCATAATCATTGTGTTTTTTCTGTTGATTCATAGGGCTTTAAGTACCTGTACCTCACACCTCAGGACTATAAGAAGGTGTCTGCTCTGAACTCAGTCCAATGTGAACATGTGGAAGACGAGGGAGAATCCAGGTGAGTTACTTATTATCCCATAAAACGTTTAGCTCAATTTTTTGTTTTTTAACAATTCCAATTTTGCAAAAAAAAAAAAAAATAATAATAATAATAATAATAACACACTCTGTGTCTAGTTATCTGGTATAATAAGACACGGAGTGTAGAAATTTACACTCTGTGTCTTATTAGCCATTGGAATAATCGCTAGTTATATAAAAATGTAACAAATCTTACATTCTTCTGCCATTTAAAAATAAGTTTCTTTCCTACTTCCCATTAATTCAACATTACTGGCATGTTCATTGGCTGAACACAATATAGAAAATTTTACTTCTTTTTTTATATCTGATAATAGAAGTCATATTTGCCATTTAGTTTCAATAAGTGGTTGGACTGGGAGGAAGTTTTAAGTTGTGAAAGTAACAAAGTAAGGTCAAGTAAGGTCAATTCTCCTCTAATGGAACCTGTGTGTCTTTGCAGGTATAAGATCACCGATATCATTGGGAAAGAGGAAGGGTTGGGTGTGGAGAACTTGAGAGGTTCTGGCATGATCGCAGGTGAATCATCGCTGGCGTATGAGGAAATTATCACCATGAACCTGGTATGCTGAAAGAACAGACACACGTGTTACAAACCATGGCAAATATTTGGCAAAACATTTGGAAAATGTCCATCTTTGAATACACATAAAAGCGTATAAGCAATATGTTTAGCAAAGCAATACTGTTTAAAAGTTTGGGGTCAGTAAGATTTTATTTATTTTCTAATTAAATGGCTCAAAAGGTATAGTAAAGACATTTATAATGTTACAAAAGATTTCTTTTAAACTTTCGATATGTCAAAGTATCATGGTTTCCACAAAAATATTAAGCACCACAACTGTTTTCAACATTTCTGAAGCATCATTTAAAACTAAAGACTGGAATAATGAGTGGTTTGCTTTTCCATCTCCAGCATGCGTTTTCTCCAACAAAAAAATAAATAAATAAAAAATAGGTATTTAAAATAATATTCCAAAAAAACAGTTGTTTCAAAAAATTGCAAACCAACCCCAAACTTTTGAACGGTACGTTATATGATAGTGTTTCTGAGCCTCTGTGTCTTCGGTGGTCCTCAGGTGACATGCAGGGCCATTGGAATAGGAGCGTACCTGGTGAGACTGGGACAAAGAACCATACAGGTGGAGAACTCTCACATCATCCTGACCGGAGCTGGAGCTCTTAATAAGGTCAGCAGCCTCACATAAACGTGTTTTGTATTTTTTGGTTTAGAAATAGAATCCGCCACGTGCCAACTTGTGCCTCCTCAAAGCAGTTTTTTTTTTTTGCCTAGTCTGCTTTGTATATTTTCAAAGGTCTTCTCTGTTTAGTTGCTGCTATGAAAAATGGCATTTGTGCATAAATTATCTATTCACTCAGCTGATAAGGGCACTTTAATTGGCCTCTCTTTTAATTGTGTGAAGTAATTTGATTGGGCCGAGGCAGGAATGGTGACAGGTTAGCGTGAACTCTAAAAGCCTGGTGTGCGATCGACTATGACCCAAATAAATGAATCCCTAATTCATGCAATTACCACGACTGCATTACAATATGACTTTTATGAATCAGCCAGTTTCTTATTTTACTGGTGACAGGGATTGGTTGTGGTTGGCTGTGCGTTCAAGCGTGTGTTAAAGGAACAGCTCACCCAAAAATGTAAATTATTTCATCGTTTATTCACGCCTCATGTCGTTCTGAACCCATGACATTATTCCATAAAACACAAAAGCGAAAAACTTGAATGTGTGTACTGGTCATTTTTTTTTTTTTTTTTACCATGGAATTGTCTGCATTTAAGGTCTAGTGATTTCAAGCTTAAAAAGGAAGCAAAAGCATCACATGGTTTATTGGGAACAGAAATTAAAGAATAAAAAACTGATATCTCAGTGTAAAGACAATGAAAGTCAATGGAAAGTCACCTGCCATGATAGAAAAACAAACGTGCATGTGTGCGTTTCTCTAGGTGTATAATTCACCCCTCAGTGATTGCCATCCCCCCACATGTCTCTCTCTCTCTCCGTCTCCCGTCATGATGCTGCAGCTCCTGCAGGAATAATAGAAAGAGAAGCGTGAAGTTGTTATTTGCATAGAAATAGGCTGATGCCTGGGGCTGGGACCGGGGAGGCACTCCCATATTATTCCTCTGAGAACAGAATTGAGCACTTCTACTGCTGCAGATATCCCCGTCTCGCTCTGCCTTCCCACCATCACTCTCTGCAGCAGTCCAGATTAGGGTTGGGAACCAAGAGTTTTTATTCCGAATAATTTCCCATTAACAGTTTGTGAATGTCTTTATCCTTTCATTGGTTTGGACTGAAATACAGTATTCAGATATTTCAGGCACGGTAATGATTTGTTACGTCTAGTGTCCGGTTGTCCTCTCTGGAACCACAGGAACACCCCAAATATTATCATGCGTTTGTCCTTTACAGTCCTATGACTGTGTTCGTTAGATCAGGACCATGATCTGCTCGTTTACAAATATTGACGATGAGCATCACAGGTCTCGGGCATGGCAAGTCTGCATGGAAGGTATGGAAGAGTTCAGTCTTTTATTAACCACTGGAACAAAAGGGAAGTATGCCACAATATAAAACATATTGGAGTTGAAGTCAAGGACCAGATGAAAACTAGGTTCCCTGCGTTCCAGATCTGGACTTTATAGACCTCATGGACTTAAGATTCAAACCAAGACTGACCCTAAGAAAGAAGTAAAGTTGAAGAATGTGTTCCAAGGACCAGGCTGTCCATTTTAATGGCTATATAGCCATACAGAGTCATGTTGAAATGGTTTTATGATTATCACAAATGATCACTTGTGGTATAGTATGTAACAGTATGAGTCCTCAATGTCCGAGACCGAGACAAGGCCGAGACCAAAAGCGGTCAAGTCCGAGACCAGAAAAGTGGTCTCGAGACCAAGACCGGTTTCAAGTACTACAACACTATCTGAAACCAGACCCACACTGTGAAGGGGCGCTAGGAACAATTGAAGAGTTCAGATGCAAAAGCCTCTAAATGGCATTTGAAATTTTCTTCTAAAATGACCATTTTTATCAAGCTCGTATATTTAAGTTCAGTAATTTCACTTAAATAACAATTAATAGGTAATCTTCATTGCCATTTAAGTGAAATTACTGAACTTAAATATACAAGCTTGATAAAAATGATCATTTTAGAAGAAAATTTCAAATGGCACTTAGAGGCTTTTGCATCTGAACTCTTCAATTGCACTCTGATTCAGACCGCAGCAAACTCTAGTATGAAAGTCACCCAAGAGTGACCCAAGACCTTGTTTGTGGTCTCTAGAGGTCCCAAGGCTTCAAGATCACGAGTCTGGTCTGGATTATAGCCACAAAATGTGAATTTGAGTGTTATGTTGACTTTGGCTTTGGGAGGGGTCTAAAAAAAAATGGCCGGTTGTGAATTTGCTTTATTGAAAATCAAACAATTTACCTTTGAAGCATTGTTTAGTTTTCTTGCGGGCCAAGCAGAAATCAGAGAAGCCGAGTTGTGATTTTCTGTGCCGCTAGCGGCACCAAACACAATTGCAACATTTTCTAAAAGGTTTACTACACACACATTGGACACTCACGCCATATGCCATTGTTCTGCCAGGCCTGCTTCAAACTCCATTCATTGAACCAGACTTTGTCAAGGAGCTCAATGAATGGTGAAAGGAAGAAGAAATCTGAGTATTGATGCAGTCCCAGAGGCATAAATAACCCCTTACTCTCCTGCACTGACCACTCAATGACACCGTCATTCTTCCTGGGTCCCTGACAGCATTGAGCGGAAAGCAGACTCTCCTCAGCCTACAGCACTGGACTGACTGCCTGTGTGATGGTATTGATCCGCAGCCCCGGGACCTCCGCTAGCACTGTGCCATAACACACAATACACACATCTTGTTTCCTAGTTTTATGATGTTATTTTCTCATGTAAGATGCATGAAGAAGAGTTGGTGACATCACTTTTTTTAATTATCAACATATTGTAGTTTATTCTGTCCAAGATTCCCCCACCCAGTCTATTTCCAAGGTCCATCCATTATACTATGACACTTTCTGACCTTTTAAACAATTCCTATGACAAAGTTGAAGATCTTTGTACTTTGACTCTTGAATCCATAGAGACAGTTCCACAGTTCATATTTTTTCAATGTGATGTTTAAGGGCAAGGTTTTTAATAATATCGATAGTTCCACAAAATTAGACCATAGCTGTCAACATTGAACATTGAAAATAAGGGAGTTTTCCCGGAATCCATCCCCAAAATAAGGGATTTTTTTTTTTTGCACGATTCTCACCCACAAACTTTAAAAATAAAGCACAATCCTTAAAAGTCTAAGGTGTTCATAACTAGCCTATGTGTGAGAGAGAAAGAGACAGTGTCATTTAAAGGGAAAAAAATCTACATTTGGATTAGCGTGTGTTGCTCTAGCATTTGGACAACAATTTCAACATTTAGCCTATCACACATCTTCCAAAATCCACAAAATAGGGAAGTGGGCTGTCTGTTTATTTTAATTACATTTACACATTTTGTGTAGCTTTAAAGAGCCTATTTAGCCTGATGGTGGACCATCAATCAGAAGACACACTATCTTTATATCCTCCTATAGGCCCAGAACGTTTTTTTTTTTTTTTCAAGTTTTTTTTCTTCTTCATGTAATCACATTGTTAAGAGCTTAAGAAACAAATGGAAAAAAAGAAAATATATTTTATTCATATATTTGAAAATCTATTTATAGGCTAATAATTATTATTTGTTTAAATTACATTGATATCTGAATTTATGTAAAAACCTAGACTTTCAAACATCAAAATGTAATGTATTAATATGTATTCGAGTACAAAATTACATTCAGCTAGCCTAAACATCGTTTCCTATTTTTTATTTATTTTTTTGCCTGGAAACGCAAAGAAATTTCAGGCAAAGAAACACGCTTGCCTGTCGCGTGAAAAATAGGCGTCAGTTCTATTTCTAGCATGCACGCGTTTTCTGGAGACGCGTGTGTCACGCAGGCAGCGTGCAATAAAAACGGACACGCCACGCAGCCAGTGTGTCTCCGGCCAGCGCGCGCGGCACCGCATCCGAGGATAAACGACTTCAAACCGAATCTGTCCAAGCCCGTACGTCTCACACAATCAGAGAGTAAAAATACGGTATATTTTACGGGAAAATACTCAAGCGGGAAAAGAGCTAAAATACGTGAGAAACCCGGAAAAAACGGGAGGGTTGACAGCTATGAATTAGACTGGTGTGGAACCAAGTTATTGCTAATTCACATAATGGGATATCAGTCTCCATGAGTTCTACAGACAACAATTTCTGTTTAAAAAGCTGTTTAGACTTAAGATACTCATTGTAACTTCAAATGAAATGAAGAACGGATGGCTGTAAAGTCATTTTGAACAAAATCTATCCAAAACAAAGGTCTTCGTTTCAGTGTTTCTAAACAGATCATCAGTGCAGACTTTTAGGAAAAGTTTACCTTGCCTGTTAATCACTTTCAAACTGTCATTGGCCAATAGGTGCGTGTGCTCTAGGACTCCATCTTTGATATGGAAACCTTTTCAGGTTCATTTATTCACTCTTTCCACATTCCCAGTGACGTGACTGGAGGCGAAATGTTCGCAAACAGTGCACCGTTGCTCAGCTACTTCAAACTTCTCTTTACCCCTGAGTAAATAAATGTAGAAGAGCACAGCCAAAAATATATTGTAGCCCTAACTCGTGTACTGACTTTTGGAGACCAAAAATTTTGGGGATATCTTTGCACTAACAGCCTTAAAGGGCACCTATTATGGAAAATTCACTTTTACATGGTGTTTGAACATAAATGTGTGTTGGCAGTGTGTGAGCAAAATCACCCTAGAATGATAAAAATCCACCCAGTGTTTGTTTTTTGTTTTTACAATCTCAATAAATCATCTTTGTGACGTAGAATTGAGCAAGGGGTTTGATTGACAGTGGGGTTGTGGCATAGACCCCGCCCTCGGTGATCTATACAGCATCCTCCATTGTTTCAACGACAGCCGGTCATGTCTCTTGGAAACATAAGTGTTCTGTCGTGGGTTAATCATGTTGTTGTGGCTTAAAAGTTAATCCTCAAGTGTGGATCGTCGTCTACAGTTTGCGATCCAACGTCACCTCTAGTTTGTGTATTTTATGATTTTTGAGCAAATAGTCATTTCAGTGTCAACCAATTCAACAACAAATGCGTCTAAAGTTGTTGTCGTCGTAGGATGTCTGTGTATGTAATTGAAACATTGTTTGTATAGTGTGTAACCACATGTTTAGAAATATATTTTTAAAGATATTGTATTAAAAACTGCATATATGTTGTTGTTCTTTAAGTTAGCCATCTTTTCACATTTTCCACAGAAGCACCTGTATGACAAGTAAACATGACGCCACAGGTCACAGATAAATGTAATTTCGCTTGTACGTAGCAAACTTTATCACAGAATGTGTATGCAGTTTCAAAAAATTGCGCCAGCGTTAGTGTTTGTGTGTGTGTTGCACATCCATACTTGCAAAAAGACTCGATTACAACTCTATAAGTACATAAATGTATCAAATAACCATACCGAGACGTACTGGTCCATTCTCATTTGTGTTTATTCTGCCGGAGTCTCTTCGTACTATTTATATATTCCGAGTCAAACGTATGCTGATTGACATTCAAAACAGCGCGTCTCTCACTCTCTCAGCCCTTCTGCTTACCGACTGCCTAGGTATCAAGTTACGCCCTCATCCAAAGGCAGGGTGGGGATATGCAGCTCATTTGCATTTAAGGTGGTATACACCCAAAACAGCTCATTTTTAATCAGGCCCCAAAATGACATTTTCAAATGGTTATAATAAATTAACTATGGGGTATTTTGAACTGAAACTTCACAAATATATTCTGGGGACACCCGAGACCAATATTACATCTTGTAAAAAGGGGCATAATCGGTGCCCTTTAAAACGGTAGCGCATCTGGTTTGAAAGAATCACTACACTATTGATTGCTACTTTTGTGCCCGCTAATTTCGCCTACATTTTGCCGCACCTTTTCTTTACACTATCCAGCAACTAGTTTCTGAAGAGAAATAGCAGCTTGGTCACTTCAAAACCAAACTTATCCATGTAGACTGTTAAAAACTCGGGTAGCCTGACTCCAGTACTTTGCATGGCAGCCAACCATTTGCTCATTCACCTTTTTGCTCTGTCTCTACAGGTTCTGGGTCGAGAGGTGTACACCTCCAATAACCAACTAGGTGGAGTGCAGATCATGCACAATAATGGAGTCACGCACACCACTGTGTGCGATGATTTTGAGGGAGTGTTTACGTTACTTCACTGGCTGTCCTACATGCCGAAGGTATGCAGAACACACTGTGACATGTAACCCGGAGAATGTGATTTTGAGGCTAACAGTGCTGTTTTCCTTCAGAATATGTCCAGTCCTGTTCCAATGCTCTCTGCTAAAGATCCCATTGATCGGCTAGTGGAGTTCATTCCTACCAAGGCACCTTATGACCCACGCTGGATGCTAGCGGGACGTCCCAGTCAGAGTGAGTAGATGCTAGAACCCTAGTTCAATACAAGTACAGCTATATTGACAGCATCTGTGCCATGATGCCATGTCTGGTTATACGTAACAACATGAATGATGTGGTTGAATTACTGTCAAAGACGTGTGCAGAAAAATGTAAAATAAACAGGAAATCATAAAATAGAAAATCATTAACTTTCTGTATCAGTGATGATATACTGTGTATACATAGGATTTGTTGACGCTTCCTACAGCGATATCTTGAGTTTTGTGTATTAATTGTGTTGAGGGATGTGTTGTTAGTTGGGGGAAGTATCCAGTAATGGATGGCTGTGGTCTGAGGGTTTATGTTTGAGGCACAGCACTAGGTCTCTCCTCTCAGAGATAAGACACTCTGGGAAATATATGGAGTGTTTTTTATTGGCGAGACAGATTACACATCACTGTAATTACCACAGTGAGGTGGGGAGATATCGAGAGTGGGTGGCAGGGAGAAAATCTTTGTCTCAGTGTAATTGAACGGTAACCTCTTCCTGCAACAGCTTCCCCTCGGTTAAGCTCAGCATATCTCTTATGAAGATTGGGTGGTAATGCAGCTCTGATGGTCTCTCTCCTTCCATACAGACACTAAGGGTGCGTGGGTGAGCGGGTTCTTCGACCATGGCTCTTTTCTGGAGATCATGCACCCGTGGGCACAGAGTGTAATCGTAGGACGGGCTAGGTAAGCAGCAATTATCAATACAGCAGCCCCAAAAGTATTTGGACTCTTTAGGCCCTTGCACACTGAGTCTGAAATTTGCGCATGCGTTTTTTCGTGTTCGTGATTCGGTGGCTCTGAATTGTCAAAACACCATTCAAACTGCTTGTTACGGATGCGAAAAAGGCCGAAAATAGAACCCGATTTGATTTATTTATTTTTTCTTTTTTTATGACGGACGAAAGTTTCGGAAGCAGTGTGCAAGCATGATTGACATAACGTGAGGTCGTATTTAACATGCGAAAATTTCGGAGTGTGCAAGGGCATTTATGCAAATGTTAAAATTGTATTTATGTCATTGCAGATGCCACTTGGTTTGATATTTTGTTATCTGAAGCAAACAAATTATGATGCTGTAGAGCTCTTAGAACTGACCTTTTAAAAATAAAAATCTTAAAAAATGTGCTTATGTTCTCTTTCTTAAAAATAAATGGCACATGCAATGACATACATTTGCAAATACTGATATTTCTAATGATTTATCATACAATCTGAGCCTTTACACTCCTCTGTGAACTTGTGTTGACCTCTGACCTCAATGCCTAAAGGGCAACGTTTGTCAGTTGGAAAGGTCCTGCTCTGATAAATGCACTTTGAAAGCGCCTGTGGGGAACATTAGTTTTATATCAGTCTTGCACTCCATTCACCTTTAGTTGTCTAACACAATACAGACATTGTTTTTGTTTTTTTTAACCTTCACAGTATTTGTCTGCATGAAAAGCTTTTTTTTAATATTTTAAGTTAAGTTTCAATATTTTAAACTTAAATTTTATAGAGTATTTTATACATCATTGGAACCTTTGAATAAATGAATAAATGAAGAAATGTCAGTACAAAAATGATAGTTAATTTAAATAAAAACTGCTACAAATTGTTTAAAACGATATAAAATCTTTTGTTTGAAAGCATTACTTTCGTTGTTTACATTTTCATTTGTGTGTAAGACAGAAATTTTATATAAATATTTATATAATTGAACTAAACATGTTACAAGAATATTGTGATGTAATTAATCTGATCCTTCACCCAGTTCCAGCTGCATATGTATCATAAATATTGCTAGATAATGACACTTTTAAAAAAAAAAAATCAGAAAATTTACTTTTCTGAAATATATACAAATATATAAATAAATAAATATATATATATATATATATGTGTGTGTGTGTGTATATATATATATATATATATATATATACTGTATATATATGTAAGTGTGTGTGTGTGTGTGTGTGTGTGTATATGTATATGTATGTGTATATGTATGTGTGTATATATAGATATATATATATTTGTGTGTGTGTGTGTGTATATATATATATATATATATATATGGGTGTGTGTTTGTGTGTGTGTGTGTGTGTATATATATATATATATAATTAGTCTCTCTTGGTAATTGAAGGTTGGGCGGGATCCCGACTGGAGTAGTTGCCGTGGAAACCCGATCGGTGGAGCTGTCAATCCCAGCAGACCCAGCTAATCTGGACTCAGAAGCAAAGGTGACCACTTAGAAACACTTCCAGACTCTCAAGCCTTGTTCGGATTGTCAGTCAAATACGATTTTTGTGCGTATCCGATTGGAATCGAGTCGTAGCAAGTGTGAACGTCAAAAAAATCACATGAAATGCCATTTTAACTTCTTTTTTTTTTTTTTTTACTTAGTCACATGTGGTTTGAAATCCTATTCAAATCGCAAATTCTGGAAATCACCTTTAGTCTGACCGTTCTGATTGTTTTTTGCCAGTAACTTTCTCAAGCCACATGTCAGATGTTGTTATAAGAAACATGCTGAAAGTCGCTGCATAAACAAGGATGTGTTGCTGCAAAGTGCCCGTCAAGCTGAAAATTACAACAGTTTTTAAATGGAGACATGTTTTGAGACTGGCAGCAGATAAAGCACGGAAACCCCTCCACGTTGCTGTTGTTTTTTTGGCGTTTGCCTACCAACGCAATGTTATTGCCATAGAAAAATTATCCGGCCAAATGAAAGAGCACCACAGGACACCCACACCGTATCTGCATAGTTGTGATACATAGTGTGGACAGTCAATCATTTAGACCAGATGCCAATTGGATACACATATAATCTGGACTGGCAGTGTCAACATAGCCTCAATCACATGATTTGTGTCAGAAAGATGACCAGTGTTTTGTGCTGTTTCCTATAGATCATTCAGCAAGCAGGGCAAGTGTGGTTCCCAGACTCTGCTTTTAAGACTGCGCAGGCCATTAAAGACTTCAACAGAGAGGGGCTGCCGCTCATAGTGTTTGCCAACTGGAGAGGCTTCTCTGGAGGGATGAAAGGTCAGTGATCTGGGAAGTGAACTGGTTTGTGCTTTAGTGATCTGTGATGGTCTCTGCTAACATCTCTCCTGTCTTTAGACATGTATGACCAGGTGCTAAAGTTTGGAGCATATATAGTGGACGGGCTGAGAGAGTACAGACAACCAGTGCTTGTGTACATCCCACCACAGGCGGAGCTCCGGGGAGGATCATGGGTCGTCATAGACCCCACCATCAACCCTCGCCACATGGAGATGTATGCGGACAAGGACAGCCGGTAAGAATTAGGATGTGGAACATAGGCTTTTAATTTTACACTGCATTACAACAGAAAACAAAACACATACACAAAAAAATTAATGAATAAAAATAATAATAAAATGAAGTAGTCAGACTAGTGTTGTCATGATACTGGAATTTCCAACTTCAATACAATACCTTGACAAAAATCTTTATTTTCTTCACCATGTTTGATACTACAGGGAAAACTGCCATGAAGACACCCACATTTTTACTGCTGTAATTTTGTTGTAATGTCTTACAGCACTGGAAGGCTTTATTTGAATCATTAAATTACATTTACAAAAACATGACCGTAAACGATAGTAAAATAAGAACAAATTATCAAATTGCAAATGGTATCATGAATGAATACAACAGAATAAAGAGATAATAAATGAAAAACATGGCTTTAAGTATTTCAGGTGGGTCTAACAGTACTATTCAGGTAAGAAATACTACAGAAATTAAATCAAATGTAAAATAACACTGGACCGTTTTCATTGTAAAAATTAAGTGCATATTAATCCTTACAATTAAAGTTCCAAAAGTTATTCAGTCAAGAGCAGCGACTCTCTCTTTTGTTCTCTGATTAACATGACAGACTGCTGCAGGTTTATTAGGCTGCTGTCACTTTAAGAGCTTTATTTATGTTTCAAAACTGACTATTTACCTGAATACTCGGCAAGATTGGCATTTTGACATAATTTTTCTTTGTATTTGATCGTTTAAGCGCAAAAAGCCACGAAAAAGAAGTCAACAGGAGGCTAGTGTCAATTCGCAGTTACAGAAAAGAGAGAGCGAGAAAGTGCAGCTGGTAGTGGTGTATCGATACTGCAAAAAAAGGAGTATTGGAACCATTTTCAATTTTTTCAATTCAACAAAAATGTATTTCAGTCCTTACAGATTAAGAAAAAATATACATAATAATTAAAAAAGGTGTAGGCTGAAGCCTATGCTTATTATACCCACCCTTTATACATAATTATTTAATGATCCACTTTCCTCTGGATTTGTACAAAATAAACAAACAGTTACATAAGAAAATTGACATAAATGATTACAAAGGTACACATATCAGATATTATTACAATAGTTAACATATTACATAAATAATTATACTCAAATAATTCTTCTTGAATGTACAGAGTAAAGTACTTATGAATTCCTTATCACAATTTTTCCATAGGTTTACTCCTTTAACAGATACACATCTATGTTTTGTAGTTCTTGCCTTTACTTTTTTAAACATACATTATTCTTAGTTTATAATGACTTTCTCTTATTTCAAACAGCCTCTGAATACAATTTAGATGTAAATATTTCAGATGTTTTCAGACACTACATCAGGCCTTACTAGCCGGCCAGCTTGAGTGATGATGCGAGAAGGGCATTGTACCAGTGTTTCGAACAGGTTCATTGTAATGGCCGGAGTGAGCTGATTCATCAGTGTGTGTGTTCTGCAGTGGTGGTGTGCTGGAGCCTGAAGGCACGGTGGAGATCAAGTTTCGTAAAAAAGACCTGGTGAAGACCATGAGACGGGTGGACCCGGTGTACGTGGGGCTTGCAGAAAGACTAGGTAATTTGTTCACAGTGCTCTCTGTCTCTCCTCTGAAATCGTATTTTGCTTCATCGGGCATGTACGAGCGTTGTATTAAAGCACATCATCCCTGCGTTCTGCGTTCTTTCTCTCTCCTCCCTGAGGAGACGTGTCAATCACAGGGGTCTCGGATCAATCAGACCCCGCTGCTGTTCTGTACCTCTTTCGATCGATTACCCCCTCAGCAGTCACTAAAGAGGACCGTTTCACATGCACCCATGCTGAATGATTGCCTCTGATGTGATCGATCTCTCTCAAACAGCCACAGGGTGATGGGAGCTCCTCGGTCGGGCCGCACTGTGATCATTCTTGCTAATTTTCTTGTGTACAACAAGGGGTCAACAGTCAACACACAGATGCCTAAACAGTAGAATTGTGCCAGTGCACTTAAAGGGATTCTTCGCCTATGGAAAGATGAATGTGTATTTAAAATAGGTCATTTATGTAGAAGAAATGTGAAATTTTTGAATTTGGAGCTTTCTAGACTGAGAAAAGCCAGAAAATGTATTTTTGGCTTATGTGGATGAAGGACAACAACTCCCAGAATGCACTTGCTTCGCTGCCCTAGGAGGCCACGCCTACCGGTAACAGAGCGCAGTAGTTAAACAACAAGTCTAGGCTATACATGAGTCTCCATGATGAGTCTGCCTGGGATTTAGAGATTCCCCAAAATGTCCGGGATTCGGCTTTTGCATTCTACAGTCGCTATTCATTATGTTTATTGTGGAGAGCAGGACGAGGCTAGGGCTGCGGTAAAACGGCCTCGCCATGTGATTACCGATTAGAGACACCTGTGAGACGCACCTTTCTCGTATCTCTCACGGAGGAGCGGGAATTTTCTTAGCAATGTTAAAAACGCATATCAACCGATCACTTGTTTAGCGTTCATGTAAACACTACATTCAGATTCACCAATCGGAATGAATTTGGTTAGATTTAACCCTTTCACACGTAAGTTTAAAATATTCGAACTGACCCCCCAGCGTGAGTTTTTCAAGGCGACCGTTATTTAGAACTTGCCACTTTAATGTTTCCATGGTGACGCGTCATTGCTTGTCACGTGACACAGCACAACCAGAACAGAGCGCGGAATGAATGATGATCTGCTTTTATGTCATTTTTCCTTTTTTATTAAAAATATTCAAAAATGTATTAGCTATATCATGAAACACTGATATTCCGATTGTCAAATATGTGCAAGTGGATGGGTTTTGTTGTTTAGACATCTTTATAACGATCGCGTTAGTTGAGCTGTATGCACAATGGGCGGCGCCATTTTAGTTTCGTTTTCAGTTCAGAGAATCGGATCTGTTGGATTTATAACGTCAATTCATCCACTTCTCACGAAATACATGATAGTAAGTGGCTGGTGAACTGGGAGAAGAATAGGGTCAAATGTTAAGCTACTTACACAATGTGTATCTGATATGAATAAAACGTGTCGTCTTATAATTGAAAGGATTATTATTGCCGCTTCTATAGACATCTTGTGTGTATTTTTTACACATCAAAATCATTGTTTTGCTAGTACATATGTGTATTTAAATGTCTGAAACCTAAAATAAACATTATGTGGTTGAAAACACTCAATAGTTGTGATATATGACAGCACTGAGTGCGTCTGTCTCTGGCTGAGCGCCAGCCAACGCGCGAGAGCAAGTTTGAATTTAGCAGTTGCTGGCGTGTGCACTGAACGCTCTAATCACACCGGTGTGATCGTATGCTCCAGGGACCAGCCAAGACTGATCACACCGGTGTGATCGTACGCGTGAAAGGGTTAAACAAAAGCTGTGCATGTAAACAATGAATGGCGACTGCAGAAAGCAAAAGCTGAATCCCGGACATTTTGTACGATCTCGACGGCCGGATATGTCCAGGAAAAAGAGGATGAATGGTACCCGGCTTTCTCCACAGAACAAGAGCTTAGCTTGCAGAAAAAGATGTCTGACACTATGTGTTCATTCTGTGAGTGAGATCCCACCCTCTATAGGTGGGTTGAGAACATGCGGGACAGCCCCTACTACTGACTGTAGTCTTTAGCCTCTGGCCAACAAATCTTCCGATGGAGGATTTTTTTTCTAGAAGTCTCTTATCTCAGGGGGATATGAGGGTGGAACGCATGGTAATTCGAAAGTACTACAGGTTTCCTACAAATACAAAGCTTAATGCTAAATCCTGAAGTATCCCTTTAAAGTTATTTTCTTAATATACTTTTTTTTTTTTTTACTATTCATCAGTTCATATTACTCTAAATAAAATATAATATTGTGATATTTTGTCAAACTGTTATTTTAACATTTTATTTTATTTTAACACTTCCAGTGTTATTTTTAGTATCATTATATATTATAGTATTTATTAATATTTTGAATTAGATTTTATTTTTATATTTAGTTGTAGTATTTTTGCTATGTGCCTAAATTTGTATTCGTTTTTTGAATGTATCTGTTTATATTTTAAAAATCTTTAGTTTTTTAGTTTTCGTCATTTTAATACCTAAACTTTGAAAGGTAATCTAATATTTATGTTTTATTTTATTTCAGTTGATGGAAATTAGTTTAAATTAGGGTTGTCGCATCCAAAATAAAAGTTTGTATTTACATAATATATGTGGGTGCACTGTGTATAATTATTTTATATATATAAATACACACACATGCTTGTATATATTTAAGAAATATTTTCATGTATATACTGTATATAGATTTATATATAATTTATATTATATTTAAATATAAATATTTTATATATAAATAATATTTCTTTCTTAAATGTACAAGCATGTGCGTATATATATATATATGCAAAATAATTATACACAGTGCACCCACATATATTATGTAAACACCAGTGTTGTAGTCGAGACCACCTCACTCGAGTCCGAGTCGACACCGAGACCAGAGAGAGTCGAGTCCGAGTCAAGACCGAGTCCATAGAGAGTCGAGTCCGAGTCGAGTCCGAGACCAGAGACGGTCGAGTCCGAGTCGAGACCGAGACCAGTGAGGGTTGATTACCTAATTTACTTTTATTTACTTAGAGAAATCCTTTTTTTTTTTTTACTGAATTTACTTAGAGTTTAAAAAATATGATCAGTTTAGGGTAAAAAGGCCACATAGTAGGTGGTGTTAAAAGTAATTTTATTACAATTTGTCATGCGCAGTTGCGCACTAGAAAATCACCAATCACTGGGCGTGTCAATCAATTTAAAGAAATATTTTTATTAACATACATTAATAATCATGAAAAATATTTTTAATTGAACTCGAGTGGACTCGGGAATAATTCCGAGTCCTAAAAAAAAAAATGTTCGAGTACAAGTCAATTCCGAGTCCAAATGGACACGAGTCCATGACAAGACCAAGACCATTAAAATATGGTCTCGAGACCGAGTCCGAGACGAGTCCGAGTCTCAAGTACTACAACACTGGTAAACACAAACTTTTATTTTGGATGCGATTAATCACGATTAATCGTTTGACAGCTCTAGTTTAAATACTTTTAGTTAACAATAAAAATGCTACTTGCTCCATCTCTGAAATTGCTTTTCTTTTTGCTGACAATATTTGCTATTCATTTGTTTTAGGTAATGCCAAAATTAAATGATGTCAAAAAGAAAAATTAATGTCAAAAAGAAATCCATCGTAATAACTATTTATATAAACACAAAAAATGATTACTAAATAAAAAACATAATTTAATGCCAGTTGATATCTTCATGCTCGCATCTGAAAAAAGTTGCCTCAAAAGTTTTTTTCATACATTCTGCATAAATTTGCTGTGTGTGTGGTTTCAGGCACCCCGGAGTTGAATGTGTCCGAGCGTAAAGAGCTGGAGAGTAAACTGAAAGAGAGAGAGGAGTTTCTGCTGCCCATATATCATCAAGTAGCTGTGCAGTTCGCCGACCTCCATGACACACCGGGCCGCATGCAGGAGAAAGGAGTCATCACTGTCAGTACTCAACTTCTACTAGTCTGCTCTGCTTTTTCATGTGTTTGTCACTTTCTGTTGGAACCATTGATTTTGAATTCATATTTCTCCATAGCTGAAGAATCAAAAGCTCAAATAAAATAAGACTTAAATGAATTAACTTAATCTGGACTTGTTTTTTTTTATTGTGTGTGTTTAGGACATCCTGGAGTGGCCGACATCTCGGCTGTTCTTCTACTGGCGCTTGAGGCGATTATTGCTGGAAGACACGGTTAAGAAGAAGATCCAGAGTGCTAACAGCGAGCTGACGGACGGGCAGGTTCAGGCAATGCTCCGGCGCTGGTTCGTGGAGGCAGAGGGAGCTGTGAAAGTAGGTCACAAATAAACAAATAATACTATAGCTTTTAAGGTACAGTAAGCAATTTCTGAGAACGACTGTTGGTAAGACAATTAACACAACATCCATCTTTTGTGACCATACCATTAACACAATTATGTTGTTTTATCAAACATAAATATATAGTATAAAATATACAGTCAAATATACATTCGTTTTATTAAGTATAAAGCCCCTATTTCTGCAACAGCACTTCAAAAGTACTGAAAAACATATATTACAAATATTGGCACAACTGATAAGCATTTTTAGGTTACAGATCTCTGAAATGTTGAGAAATAGCTGGATCCAATCTCAATCGGGGGCGTAGTCAGGTGTTGCATTACTAGAACATGCACTGTAAAAAGGGACTCTTCTGTCCAGTAGGCATGGGCGGTATCCAAATTTTCATACCGTCAAACCTCCTCCCTATTTTACCGCGGTATACGGTATTACCGCGTGACTAATTAAAAATTACAAGATAAGGCTCAGACGGCATCACACATGATGACACGTTCAACCAGAGAGTGTCGGTTCCAATAATGCATCTAAAAGCTGTCAATCAACTATTAGAAAACAGGAGATGCACATTGTCTCACACCAGAGAATGTGAGCAGAGTGGTGATATTTCCTCTAGAGAGGGGAGCGCATTTCTGAAGATCACGCGCCACGAGCTCTCGACGCGAGCCGAGTGGAGCCGAGATAAAATTATTTATTAACAAACTAGTGTTTTCTATGTCAGTTGCTGCAAAGATAAAGATTGCATTGACGATGCAAACTGGCATCTTCATGGTATGAAAACACGAATAAAGAGTAGCCTAATGCACACTTCATATGAATAAGCCTAGCAGAGAGCAGCCCATTTCTTTTAGCTTGTAATTGTTTTGTTTAAAAGTATAGACATTTCAAGCTTACATATATATACACTTCTCAGATCATTAAGACATGTATCTTATATGCCGAGTTTCAGTTCATGTATGAATCGCGCTCCAGTCACGCGTCGGCGCGTGTCCCGATTACTATCTTTGCTTTTTATTTATTAGCCTAATCCAGGCAATTCGTTGATGAAAAAAAAAATAAATAAATGAAGATGCAATTTATTCAAAACGAAATTCGTTTAAAAGAAAGGCTTTGTACAAAACAAAACGTAATAAGTGGTCATAATCATGTCTGACTGACCCAACGTGTTTTCTATGTCAATTGCTGCAAAGATAAAGATTGTATGCAAACTCGCATCTTCGCGGTAGTGAACGCGAATAAAGAGTAATGCACACTTCATATGAATTAGCCTAAACATAAGCAGAGAGCAGCGCAATTTCTTTTAGATTGTTAAAGAAGACATGTCAAGCTTACTATATATATACACTTCTCAGATCTTGTTTCTTATATGCGAGGTTCAGTTCATGTATGAGTCGCGCTCCAGTCACGCGCCGGCGCGTGTCCTGATCACTATATTTGCTTATTATTATTTAATCCAGGCAATTCGTTGATGAAAAAAAAAATTAAATGAAGCTGCAATTTATTCAAAACGAAATTCGTTTTAAAGGGTTAGTTCACCCAAAAATGAAAATTAAGTCATTAATTACTCACCCCCATGCTGTACCAACCCCGTAAGACCTTCGTTCGTCTTCGGAACACAAATGAAGATATTTTTGATTAAATTTGAGAGCTGTATAACTACCACATTGGCTCCTAAGGGACTGCCTCTTGACGGCCCAAAAAGTCAATGAAGAAAATGTTTAAATATCCCAAGTGACTACCGTGGCTCAACTATATGTTTATCAAGCGACGCGAATACTTTTTGTGCGAAAAAACAAACAAAAATAACGAGTTTATTCGACTATTTCTTTTCTTCCTTGTAGGCCAGAACGAGAATTCCTTAGATTTCCACGACGCATGCGCGAGAATTGCGATCTGCTTACACCAGCTTAGATCGCAATTCTCGCGCATGCGTCGTGGAAATCTATAAGGAAGTCTCGTTCTGGCCTACAAGGAAGAAAAGAAATAGTCGAATAAACTCGTTATTTTTGTTTGTTTTTTCGCACAAAAAGTATTCGCGTCGCTTGATAAACATATAGTTGAGCCACGGTAGTCACTTGGGATATTTAAACATTTTCTTCATTGACTTTTTGGGCCGTCAAGAGGCAGTCCCTTAGGAGCCAATGTGGTAGTTATACAGCTCTCAAATTTAATCAAAAATATCTTCATTTGTGTTCCGAAGACGAACGAAGGTCTTACGGGGTTGGTACAGCATGGGGGTGAGTAATTAATGACTTAATTTTCATTTTTGGGTGAACTAACCCTTTAAAGAAAGGATTTCTACAAAACAAAACATAATAAGTGGTCATAATCATGTCTGACTGACCCATTCCAAATGTTTTCTGATATTGCGCATTTTATGATCTTATCTTAGTCATCTCATGAAGTTCCCTTTTCATAAAATCAACATACATAGAAAAACATCATATTATTAAAAAAATATGAAAGGAATACGTTTTTTTTTTCTCCAAACCTAGCTTATTTAAGCGTCACACGGTCCGCCCCGCTGTAGATTACATGCATGTGGCGTGCATGTGGTGGTGGGGCACAATTTTCAAATAATAATCGAATAATACCAGGCAATCTTTAAATATTATTTTTGCTTGAAATGCCCATCCCTGCCAAACTGCAGAAGTTGTGTTCTTCTTCGAGACCAAGTTACTCGGTGCGCAACTTGCAATCTTTGCCCTCTCTCCCCCACTCTCTCGTCACCACACTGTCACGTCATCATGAGAACCAGATATAAGCATTTTAGCCATTAAATAAATTGTATTTAAAACATTGCACTTATATAGGAGACAAGGATTCCTTGTCTCCTATTTAAGTGCATTGTTTTTTTTTTTCTGACGGTATGACGATATTGAAAATGATACCGTTGCTATTTTTAGATCCCGCGGTATACGATATTACCGTAATACCGCCCAAGCCTACTGTCCAGTGGCTGCCCTGAGCAATTGTTGCTTTATTTTTTTTTTCAACTGTACGTTCTTGTTCACTTTTAGATAGTATGTTGCCAAGAATGCACACATTCAACACTCAACCAAAAATGAAGAATAGCCTACAGTAAAAGGAAACTGAATTATAAAAACAATGGATTTTAGATTGTCGGCGGGTAGAACAAAACATGACAGTAATGTCATGAAACAAAAGGTGAAAAAATTGTCATAATGCCATTAATTGTTAGCATCATTGCACTATGATTGACCATATTTGTGTTGGATAGAAAACTATTGCTAGAGTTTTGACAGAATTGATTCAATTTTGAGTTGGGTTTGCTGTGAGTGAGAGAGTTAGTGTATGTAGAAAGTAGTGCTGTCAAACGATTAAAATATTTAATCGCGATTAATCGCATTAATGTCACAGTTAACTCGCGATTAATCGCACATTTTTATCTATTCTAAATGTCTTTTGATTTCTTTTTGTTACATTATTTTTTTCTCATTTTAATGCTCTTATCAACATGGAAAAGTGGATTGGCTTGTTTAGTGCAAATGTTTTTTTTTATTATTATTATTATTATTGAAAATAACATTGGAATAGTGCTCAATTTTACACTAACATATATAAATAATCTCTCACACAATGTAACACTGTCTATCAATAAAAGGGTGAAATAAATAGGCCTACTGACGAGGTCCTGATATTGACGAGGGGGTGGAGAATTCGCATCATCTGTTTGTGTGTGTTTGCTTGGCCATCATCAAGTGGTTTTTCAGACTGGACGTGCTGCGATGATGATAGCTCAGTCCACAATGACAAAACACACAGATCAATTGGTCTTGTCAATGGGACAATTTGGCAACTTTTTAAAAGTAATCTTTCCATTCAGAATCTTAGGGCATCCATTTCGGCGTCTCGCGCTCGTCATCCACTCAACTTAACGTTACTATTTGGCCGGCTCGCAAGCCGAAACGAGTGTGTGCGGCACAAAACGTCCTCGCGCTGCGCTCTGAACCCATTCATTTCAATGGTTTGCGCCGCGTGAGGACGTTTTGTTGTTTCTTCGACCAAAGCGCAAGCGGATCTGTTTGCACGCCGCAAACACACATTTTGGCTTGTGAGCCGGCTTTGAGTGGATGACAAGCAAGACGCCAAAATGGATCAGGACGCATGCCGCAAATTTTGCTAGGACAAAAAGACTGTTAATTGCGCGATAAAAAAATTAACGCCGTTAAAATGGGTTTGCGTTAACGACGTTAATAACGCGTTAAACTGACAGCCCTAGTAGAAAGTGTTTGGTATTTAGCATTTTGAAATGTAGAGTTTGGATTTATTCAGACCTGCCAACCCATACGCATTTTGTGTAGCGGATACGCATTTTGACCTCAAAGTACGCTGGTATGATTTGTCACTTTAAACTACGCAAAAACCTGGTGACGCCTCTGTGCACGCGTGGACCAAAATAAGCAGAGTTTGACCAATCATAGCGCTGGGTTAATTCCCAAAATAGCAAGCGGGATGATTGACAGATGCTTATGGCCTATCATTAAAAAGAGACTGAAAATCGTCAGCAATAAAGAATCCCGCTCAATCCCGCTTCCACTCCCGCAGCGCGCCATCTGCGCGCCAGTCTGACATAAGCGAGGAGAGTAGTCCCAGTACTTCTGACTCCTGAAGGTAAACGGACTGGTCTGGATGTGGAAAGTTGAAATATTATTTTTAGTTAACTTAATCTGGATTCTATGATCACACGTGAGTGTTCGCAATCGCATGGGTTAACGTTATCTTAAAATACTCTGTCATTCATGGTCTCTCAGATAAGGTGAAAACATCGTTCAGCCATGCAAATTATAAAATGCTTAACACTGTACAATAAATCGTTATGGCTTAGTGATTATGAAAGAAACAGGCGTTTATTTATTCATGCTCAGTGTTGAGAAACGTAGTCTGCATGTTTTACGTTATTGTGTTGAAAATAGCTAAATTACCTAATTATGTTACATATTTATTTTGAATGAACTAGCGCGTTAGTTACTTATGGATTAAAAAGGACCATTGTATTAGAACTGCACAAGCTCAAGCACTCAGAGAAAGATTATTGTAAAATCTAAATTGACGGGCTAAGTTTAAATTTTGTTCTCGGTTGTGTTTTGTTTTTTTCTGTCAAAAGGTGAGAAATCATTTTTGTATTATTCATCCGTGTTTTTAAAATTTGTTAAATGATGGACGTTTTACTATTAACAGCCCCATGTCGGATTCGTCTAAACTTTTTAGAATAAGTGATTCGTTTTGCTATAATTGGTCCTGTGACAGGACTCCTGTCTATTCATTGTCAACTGTTTTCTATATGTATTGGCTAACGTTTATTCAGCTAATGCGCGTGTCCTGTTTAAAATGCACAATATTCAAATGCAAAGACAGCACGTCACAAATTAAAGCCTTTTTTGTGGGATTTAGTGTCATATTTGGTTAATGTTATGGAATAATAAATCAAGTAGCTTTATCTTAAATGTACACATCTATCTGTTTTTGTTTTCGAGGGGTTTCTTAATTTTAGACTAGTTGACCAGCACACATTATATGCAAAGTTAATTTTTTAAACTTTAGAAGTCAAAAGTAGAATTATGGAGATAGGCATGTGTTTGTGTGTCTTGCTTTGTCTCAAAAAAGAATTAATATTTTTTTAGTTTTGCCAGGCACACAAGAAGAGTCTTGCTAAGAGATTGCAGATTCCACACAACCTAAAAAGCCTCGATATCCATCGAAAAATCTCTATGACAGAGAGCATATTAAATCAACTCATCAACAAGTCTCCTCAGCTTTCATTGTTAATTGCGCTCATTCCTGTTTGTGTCCTCAAACAACCCGCGTGAGCGTCGAGTCTGAGGAGGAGGGGGCCGGGGAAACAAGGATTTCCGATATTTTGAATATATTAGCTCTCATTATTACAGACTGCACCTTTAAATCGCTTAATCGCTTAAATCACCAACAAAAATATTTTGAAGAATTTGGAAAATGTGACCAAAGTATTGAGAAATGTGCCTTAACGATTGTAAAATGAACTGTGTAGTAAGTCTTTCTTCAACTGAAGTGTATTGTGGAGCAGGGAATATGACAATTAGAAATGATTGGAATGGATGAGCTCTGACAAGGCCTCTGAAGAGTCGCCACACCAGGTCCTGGAGCAGAGCCAAGTCCCCAGGGCAGGTTAAAGTATCTGCAGAAGACGGTGTCTGGACCACTAATACATTATCCCAATCTGCGTGAGCTATCTTAAGCTACAATTAATCTCCACCCTGCCACGCGCAGATAGCAGAGCAACACGCTGTTTCTTAATTAAAAGCAAACGGATTAAAAATGATTAATATGGGGCATTAAATGTTCTTGCCGACTACAAGTGCTTGCGGTTTTTAGAAGCACGGAAGCCCATTAATGCCTCGACAAATCTTCACAAGCACAAGTCCAGCTTTGTTTTTAGATCAGCCTGATGGTATCAGTCTAAGCCTAAATGAAGAGCCGTTGATTAGGATTGTGATTTGGTTTTCAAATAGAAACATTGTTAAAGTTTGTTTGGTAAGATGTTTCAAGCAAGCTTAAGGTGTTTAGAACTTTTTACTTTTGTTCTTTTGTTTCTTTATATTTATGTATCTTTTTGTGTGCGTGTCTCTCTTAGGCATATCTGTGGGACAGTAATGAGGATGTTGTGGAATGGTTGGAGAGGCAGCTGGCAGAGGAAGAGGGTGCCAGATCTGTCATCGATGAGAATATCAAATATATCCGCAGAGATCATATCCTCAAACAGATCCGCAGGTAACATCCAGACACAAGCCTTAATGTGTGTATGTGCGCGCATGTAATATATATATATATATATATATATATATATATATATATATATATATATATATATATATATATATATATATATATATATTTTTTTTTTATATATATATAAATTTATGTGTGTGTATGTATATATATATATATATATAAATTTATGTATATATATATAAATTTATGTGTGTGTGTATATATATATATATATTTATATATAAATTTATTTATATATATAAATTTATTTATATATATATATATTTATTTATATATATATACACATTTATTTATATATATATAAATTTATTTATTTATATATATGTATATATATATATATATATATATTTATATATATATATATATATATATATATATATATATATATATATAAATTTATTTATATATATATATATAAATTTATTTATATATATATATATATTATATATATATATATATATAAATTTATTTATATATATATATATATATATATAAATTTATATATTAGTCATTTTCTAATCAGTATTTCTTCCAACCAAAACAAACATATATTTTTATTCAAAGATCAACAGTCTGTCATTAGTCTTTAGTCTGCCACAAAAAAAAAAAAAAAAAAAAAATTTAAATAAAAAAACATAAAAAAATCATGAACTCACATGTAATTTTTGAAAAAAAAAGTGTTACTGTTGTAACAGTGCACAGGCTAAATCAAATAGGAAAACTAAATAATTGTGTAGATATGATTTGCTTCAAGTGTAACCCGACATCAGACATTAAGGCCCGACCGAAATACTTTTTTGCACACAGTGACGCAACCAATCTATCACTCCTTTAAGCGTTCACACCAGATGTGAAAAGCGGGGCAAATTCATCCCTACCTAGTTATACATGTAAACACTTTGAATGAATCCATTCGCGCTTCGAGAGCGAAATCGTAAAAAAATAAAGTTTAGAATGGCTGCCTGCACATTCACTTTCCACGGACAGTTTTAAATGTTTTATATCAAGATTTTGCTTTAGTATAATTTTCAGGACAATTAAGGCCGGTCTCAGGATTCGGCACAACAGCTTAGATTTCGGGACTGTCCTGAATTTTTAGGTCTTCTGGTCACCCTAAATATATCAATAGAAAGAACAGAACCTTTTTTTGTGTTTTGTTTGTTTTTTTTAGTTGTTGTGGTTTTTTTAACCCATTTTATTTTAGTTTCTTGTTTTCTTTTGTTTTTTTTAGTTGTTGTGGTTTTTTTAACCCATTTTATTTTAGTTTCTTGTTTTCTTTTATTTTTCTTTTTATCAACACTTGAATTTGCTTTCATAAGCTTAATATATATATATATATATATATATATATATATATATGAAGAGTTTAGATGCAAAAGCCTCTAAGTGCCATTTGAAATTTTCTTCTAAAATGATCATTTTTATCAAGCTTGTATATTTAAGTTCAGTAATTTCACTTAAATGGCAATGATAATTACCTATTAATTATTTAAGTGAAATTACTGAACTTAAATATACAAGTTTGATAAAAATCATCATTAAAGAAGAAAATTTCAAATGGCATTTAGAGGCTTTTGCATCTGAACTCTTCATATATATATATATATATATATATATATATATATAATGTACCATGTTATGCATGTATTTGCACTGACAACAGTCCAAGTGCAATTCCAATTATTTACTAAACTGTGTGATGTAAATCTGAAATTTGGCCACAATTTCATTAATGTTTTTGCACGATTCATAATTATTTTTTTAAAAGCTGACCTAAATGTAAGTGGATGAGACTTGAGAGACCAACGCCTCCACAGCAGAAGTAGATTGGGGAACTGGATTTTATTGATGCTTACTACAATTGTTTGCTTAGTAAAATAACTCTTTATATGCCAATATAATTGAATTTTGGGGGGGAAAATGGTAAATTCATTTTATTAAATCACTGCATTGAATTTTGCAACGCAATGCATTTTTTACACCTGTATTTATTCACTGTTAAAATCATATCTTGTTTTTGTTTAAATTAACACATTTGTTCATTTCATGTTTCTTAGCCTGGTTCAAGCTAACCCAGAAGTGGCCATGGACTCGATTGTTTACATGACCCAGCACATTTCCCCCACGCAGCGTGCAGAGGTGGTCCGTATCCTGTCCACCATGGACGCCCCTGCGTCCTCGTAGAGCCCTGTCAATCATCTAAGAGGCCTGATGCTACTGGAGCAAGAGGAGCCAACATGGCAATGCTGTGACTTGGCTATGAATCTGAAAATAAGTGTTACAGCAAAGATACTCTGTGTCAGTACTTATCAATGCACATAAATGCGCACCTTCAGAAACACTTAAGTAAAAAAAAAAAGAGAGAGAGAAAGCACTAGTGTTGTCTTTTATAGTTTAGCAGTCTAGTCAAATGCACTTTGAGACTTAGATGAACGGAGACCAATCATAGAAACAAGCTTCCCAAAGTTGTTAAAGGATTTCACTTTTTGTTTTTTTCCCTAGAAGCTTTTGTTTAAAAGGCAGTAGATTACTCTACAAGAGAGAACGTTTGCAACTTCATAATCAACTTTCTAACTCTAAGAAGGAGCGATGTGACTAGATCACTCCTGCTTCACTGGTTATAATGGGTGATGTAGCTGTTGTATAAATTGCAGTTTAGGGGCAGTATTATTCTTCACATGCAGGATGGTCCATTGAGCCATATGACCACATCATTTTGACTGCTTGTTTCATTCGTTTAACCAAAAAATAATTATGATTTTTTTTGAAAAAAAAAAAAAAAAGTCAATCCACTGGTGTTGTATTTATATGCTGTTTATTTTTTTAGCATATATGAAATGTCTTGAAAATATATTAATAACTTATTAAACAATCATCTCTTAAAAACAACATGGTACATTATACGGCAAGTGCGTAACCGTAGAACATTCAACAAACGTTTAGGTTAGTTGAATTTGGTTGTTACCATATACATGTTCTGGAAAGACTTACCAGGAGTGTAGTGTAGAAATGTAGTATAAGCAAGCAATGGAGGGGGCAAATGATACTTGAGAGAGGTGAATGGAGTATTATACACGATCTTAAGATGCTCTGTTGTATCCTCAGTGTATCATTGATATGATGGTTGTAGCTGCTACCGGAAAACCTCAAGCTGTGACTACTAGACTCAATGAAAGGTGAAAAGTGTATCAGGTTGTGACCCTAATGGGTGATGAATTGTCTCATCTGTATCTGTAAGCATTGTTGAACATGTTACTGAAGCTGTCTCACCATGTACAAAAAGGAGAATTTCCTGTTTACTGTGGCAAACTGTGATTGCCTCTTAAAAATAACTGAATAAAATCTAATTATCTTACATGTACAGGCTCTTGATTGATTGTACAGGGTCATATCATGAAAAACAGGATTTTCAATTACATAGTACATACTTTCTGGTTGAAGTGGTGCGTTTATCCAGACCAAGATGCCCACTAGACAAGTTGAGAGCTGTGCTGGTATGCTAAATAGAGCTGTTTATCACTTGCTTAGCAGGGAAGTCCGTGTGCTTGAATGACAAGTATGTTATGTGTGTGAAAACAAAAGGGCCAAGTACTGAACCCTGAAGTATACCAGAGGTTAGTTGATTGTGATTATACCATGGTCTGGGTGAATACTCGATTCTGATTGGCTGCAGGGTGTCCATTAAAAAGTGATAGAGGACACCTAGTAAAGTAGTTCTGGTGAAACTGCCTGTTTACCATTCGAAAGTAATAAATAAATGCGCTGCCTACAACAGCTGTGAGTAACCATAGCAACAGGCAGTCAAAGTATCCGTTAACAATTTGCTCTATCAAAACAAACATCTAACGTTAGTTAGATATTACATAGCCTACTAATACAACAATGAGCGGCGACTTCGTTATTTCTTTTAACATTTATGGAGAATATGACAACTTTGACGACTGGGATGCTGCTGAAGAAAGAAAAAATTTAAATAAAACGGAGAAACGTCACAAAGAAAATTACACCGCTGCTGCTCTGAATGAGACCCTGCCGGAGTTTTACGCAGCTGTCCAGACAACCAAGGCAGGAGGAGAGTACAGCGTTTCAAGCCTAAGAAGCCTGTTTGATTAATTGTTTTATGTGTAATAAAAAAAAAAAACTATGCCTACCTTTGTGTTTCATGAGAAAAAAAATGCATTTTTGAACCTGAAGGGTTCTACGTTACAGGCTGTGCGGACTATAAATATCTCCGGTTGCTAAATAAACCAGGCAAGTTATTATTTGTAAAAACTCGATTTAACCTAATTAAAATATAAACTAGCAGCTAATGTTTTATTTGGCAAGTGACCATGGTATAAGTGGGTTAAATGCCCTCCGAGGTGTCCATTGTCAGGTTTTAATGGACTTCGGCGGAGGCAACCGTACTCCGCTGCGCGTCGGCCGGTTCACGCCTCGCCGTCGTCCATTAAAACCTGACAATGGGCACCTCGTCGGGGATTAACCCTTACGTTAGGCACCCCCTCCTCTCTGAAATACCCAGAAGGATCTACCTTTGAGTTTGACAAAAAAAAAAAAGAGTTTGGGCTCCTAGTTTGTTACATTTGATAACATCTTTCGACAACTAATCACAATGTAATGTGGGAAATAGGCATTGTTGCTCATTTACGAAAGCTAAAGGCTAGCTATTAATGATGGGTTATGTATAGATGTCAAATGGATGTTAAATAAACACTAAGGAGGATCAGAGAGGGAGGAAAATTACACAAGTATGCAAAGTGTGGCCTGAGATGAAATCATGAATGTTCAGTGACTGCGTGTTTCTGACAAGAACTAATCAGTGCTTGTCTTCATGCTATTCTTCGTTCTTGAGAGAAATCAAATGACATAAGGATCTGGGAACACACTTCCATTGATTTATCAATTCAGCAATCATTCTCTCATCTGGTCCCCTCTGTGTGGGTTTAACAGTCTATTCTCATACTACCTACCGACAACGACAAAGGCCAAATTGAATCACAGCAATTCAATACCCAATTAAAATGATGGCAGCGACAATAGTGAAAGCTTGAAGTGAATAACCTGGGATTCTCTGATCAGAAAACATTACAGAATGCTCCCAGAGAGGGAAATTAAAACAGAGGTACATATTGGTTTTAATAAATGTGATCATGTACTGTGTGTAAAATTAAGGCATCAATGAAAACATTAACAAAACAAGAAACATTTGTTGTCAAAATGGTATTTTTAATATAAGGGCACTAAAATGTGTCATTTTACAAATAAAAAGTAATTTTAGTTTCATTTACAGGAAAAAAAAAAAACCTAGGTTTGAGTGAGGTCCCGGAAGGATTTCACCTGTAGAAGTGTGTGAGAATAGTGCAGCACATACACACACTGGGGTTTAAGCGTTGAGACAGATGTTTCAGTGTGCTGGACCATTTGCAAACAGGGAACGAAACAGCTCAGACCTGAACACAAATACAAGAAAATAGATTGAATAAATTACTGCATTTCTCAATTCAGAAAATGTCATTTAAAAAAAAATGTTGTACCAAGTGCCATATTTATATTAAAGTATATACACATAGTATCACAATACACTACCATTAAAATTTTTGGGGACATTAAGACAGATACATAATGTGTTTATTCAGAAAGGATGCATCAAATTGATCAAAAGTAACAGTCAAAAAAACTTTTATACTGTTGCAAAACATTTCTATTTCAAATAAATAGTTCTTTTGAAAATTCTAATTCTCAAAGAATCCTGAAAAACAAGTATCATGGTTTTTCAGAGAAATAAAGCAGCACAGCTGTTTTCAACATTGATAGAAAAATACTTGAGCAGCAAATCGGGATATTAGATTGATTTCTGAAGGATCATGTGACTGGAGTAATGATGCTGAAAATTCAGCTTTGCCATTAAAGAAATAAATTATATTTTAATTTAAAGTAAAAGGTTACTTTAAAAATGTTATGTAATTTTATGAAATATTTATTGTACTTTTAATCAAATAAATGTAGTCTTAGTGAGCTTAATAGACTTAAACAAGTTTGAAGATTAGTGGAGATTATATATATATATATATACTGTATATATATATATATATATATATATATATATATATATATATATATATATATATATATATATATATATATATATATTATATATATACTGTATATATATAGTATATATACGTAATATATATATATATATATATATATATATATATATATATATATATAGTGCAGATATGAAGTCAGAACCTATCTCCAATAGGGTTTTTTAATAAGGTTTTTTTCAATTTAAGAATCTGTGGTATAAACAGGACAAAAATATTATGAAATTTTGTTCAACAATGTACTCTGCACACTCACACCCCAAGCTGTCTTATTCTAGTTATTACAAAAAAGTCCGTTCAAAAATGAACAACTGCTTAGGAATTTCGCTATGGGTGTGTGTAGAACAAATGTCAAAGGAAAAGTATACACACACACATAAATTAAAGTACCATAACATCACCATCTGACATCACTATACCATGTTTACGGCTCTATTCAATGTTCAATAAAAGTCGAGCTCAAAATAACAAAACTTGAGGCATAATGCTGACTACAACAAAATTAATTTCAACTTGTTCCTCAAAGAAAGAAAGATCAAGGTTATGATGAGACACTTACAATGGAAATAAACTTTGGGAAGATAATATCAAATTGAGGATTAAAAAGCAGAAACGTGAAGCTTATTTTTTATTATACTGATAAGAATGGGTATTATTTGAGCTGTAAATTTGTTCTCATCACTTAGATTTTAGCAGCAAGCCAACAAAATTGGGAAACACAACTGGTATTAAACAAGATAAGATCATCTATATACAAGTGGCGCGAAGAACTCAATCTGTTCATCCACGACTAAAGGCCAAAAATCCTAATAGATAAACTGTGGCCCTACTTAATGCAGAGAGGACAAAAGCACACAAGAACGGTCCTGAGACTGATGTGCTAATATCCCAGAGGGCCAGGGCTGAGACCAGGCTAACAGGACCATCCTTAATCCCAAATCCCTGTTAGAAATGCACCACCAGCGTTCAGGATTATAGCACGTAGCCGCCGTCACACAATGCATACAATCTGATCCAAACAGAACCTGGAGAAGCAGAGGGCTCAGGATCAGAGAGAAAAGATGAGACCCATCTCTCCTGATGAGGTTTACCCAGGACCCTCGCACTACCCAGATTCCCTGGCTCGTCCCATCACCCCATCAGGGAGAAATGCATTGAGATGATCTCAAGCCCCCAAAGAATTTGTATGCTTCGTGTCTTTTTGCTTGCGAGAGAGTGTAGGCTGTGTGTGCGTTGTGGTGTGTGCACTCCCCATCCTGCAACGTCAACATTAACATTCATGGGGCCAGTGGTGCATGTCGGTGTTATAGAGCCTGTGTGAAGATATGGCAGAGGGGATGTGTAAGCAGGCGAGGGAAAGTGTTTGTGTACGAGACGAGTGTATCTGGCTGCACGAGGAAAAGGTCTCCTAGAATCTCTCTCCGGCAAAGGTCACCGGTCACTCTCTGATGCCATCGGCATACATCATTATTACTGTAGTTCACCGATTGTTATGTAAATAAGACCAAGCACGTGTTACTACGTATATGTGTGTGTGGGCTGGCAAAGGTCAGGCTTCATTTTGTGTCATCTGTGGCTCTGATAACGGTCACAGTGTTATTGTCAGTATGTTGCGATTTAAAAAAAAATAACAATTTTAGAACACTATCATAATATACTGCACGGCAAAGAGTGCATGCAGTATTATTACACTAACTAATTTCCCCTATTTAAATTGAAATTTCCCCCTATTTCAATTGAAAAAAAAAATAATAATAATTTATGAATATTGTGAATTTAAAGGAGTAGTTTGCTTTAAAAAAATGTTTTTGCTGAAAATTTACTCACCCCCATGTCATCCAAGATGTCCATGCCTTTCTTTCTTTTTTTTAAACATTCCGGCATTTTTCTCCATATAATGGACTTTACTGGTAACCAAAACGGTTCAAGGTCCAAAAGACAGTTTCAGTGCAAACTGTTCAAAGGGCTTTAAACGATTCCGGACAATGAATAAGGGTCTTATCAAGCGAAACGATCGCTCATTTAATAAATAAATAAAGTTTAAGTTTTATAAGCTCAAATGGTCGCCTTGCTCTGTTCTGTGATGCACGTTCGCGACTCTCCTGTTCGAACTCATTCATCAAAACGAACTAATCTTTTCCCGAGTCAATTCGTTCATTTAGTTCGTTAAATGAACCAAATGACACGAAAAAAGGTTCGTTCATTTTGATAAACGAGTTCGAACAGGAGAGTCACGAACGTGCATAAC